CTTGCTTCTCTCATTATTTATTGAAATGTAATTCAGAAGAAAATGCAGTTCAACTTCAACTTCAGGGCTTGACTTTTCACACAAACAAAAATATTACGAGTGCGAAAATTATTGATCGTAAATTATACTGAAATCTCTATGACTTAATCTTTGCTTTTCAATTTCGATAGTGTGTGCTGACACACCAAGTCTTGTCAATTTTTATCTCCCCTGGTCCAAAGCGCCAGTGTGAGCTTTTGCTATCACTTAGGGTCGATCATCCGTCGTCGTCCGTTAACTTTTACAAAAATCATCTTTGAAACTACTGGGCCAAATTTAACCAAACTTGGCTACAATCATCATTGGGGTATCTAGTTTGTAAAAAAATGTGTCTGATGATCCCAACTGTCAAACCAACATGACCAACATGGCTAAAATAAAACATAGGGCATAACATTCTAGATTGTCTATTATCTTGAAACCCACTATAGATAGAGAAAATCTGACGGAATAAAACTTTTCAGCATGATAAGATCTACCTTCTGTCTTTTTACATCAAAACTGTCAGATGACTTCTTGTAGGAGTTATTTCCCTTAAATAACGAATTTTCCCTTTTTAAAACTTTGGTTATTATCTTGATCTTGAAACTTTATAATCAAAAATGATCAGCAAGACAAGATCTACAAATAAGTCAAACTTAGCCGAATCGTCAGTCAGCTCTTGTTGGAGTAATTGACCTTTTAATAACGATTTTTACCATTTGTTTGCGTTTTTGCCTAATATCTTGAAAACTATAATAGATAGATACAATAGTAAACTTTCAAAAACAAAAATAATCAGTAAGACAAGATCTACAGATCAGTTTTATTGCAGAAATCGTCAATTGACTCCTTATAGGAGTGATCGCCCTTAAAAGACTATTTTCCCCATTTTTTTGTTTTGCGTTTTTGCCTATTATTATGAAACTAAAATAGAAAGAGAGAATTTTAGAGGGCAAAAATGACCCACAAGGCAAGATCTGCAAATAAGTTCGTATACTTCTGAAATCGTTGGCCAACTCTTTATATGAGTCAATGTCCTTAATGACAATTTATATCTTTTTTGCGTTTTTGTATGTCATCTTGAAAACTATAATTGATAGTATTGTTCATCAACGTTTCAGTTTTTTTCCCAACACTTTGAAAGACCAAAAACGCATGAATTCCACTATTCTACTTTTGAACACTAAAGTATGTGCTGCGATATGACCATGTGCATTTTAACGTTCAGAGAGAGATTTTTCTCTACAAGTTATTATTTGGAAAAAGATCACTTGTATATATGTACTTCTTTTTTTTTAAACGAACGCATCAAGTATTTACCCGTCGAGATCATTTTGACATAGAAATCCCTTGCCGTGATAGGTTGTAGGATTGTACAAGAAAGAAAAAGTTTTCGTTGTTTTTTCAACCAATAAACCAACATCGCTATTACAATGTCGGAAACAAATTTGGTATTAAACAATACGCAATAAAATTATATTGCTCTAGAGAGAAAACTTATCTGAATACATTCTTCAAATCTGACAATTTTTTCAGTTCAGATTTTAATTTCGATAGTGATTCTTTTTTTTTCTTTCGTACGGGCAATTCTATTGTTTTTGCCAATTGTGGTTAGAAATGTGTTTATCACTAGTGTCAAATGTATATTGAGCAAATTTATCACGCCGAAAAAAAACGACCAGTATTGTTGAAGTCAATATCTCGTGAAAATGGATTAGTCTAAACATTACTAATTTGCAAAACATAGCACAAAGGATAATCAACTCCTCTTCACAACTCGTATATATGAAGTATGTATAAATTCCACAACATTGAAATATTTTTTACATCTTTAAACATCATTATTACAGTAAGGGATATAAATTGTGTATGCCTGTGCGTATGTGTAAACACCATTGATCTTAAAAAGGTCTTCGTTATAAAGAACGTTCATAGTTGGGCCAATAAAATGTTGGGCTTTCCAGGTGTGACCATATTTTTTAGGGACAAATACATCTTTAAATCTGACAATCTGACTTGATGTGATGTCATATAAATAACGTTAATAAAAAAAATAGACATTTCCTTTATATTTTAGTAAATCTTCAATTATATATGCAAGATAACATGCTGTTATGCCAGATTTAACAACAATGTACTGTTTATAATATTTTGTACTGGTATTATCCCGTTTCTGGACAGTGTTTTGAAATTTCGCTCCACACTAAGAGTGTTAAAAAAGGTAGATTAAGGTGACTGGGGTGTCTTCCTCCATCTTGGATTTTGAAGTAGCAGATATATAACTATTGGTCTAGATCTTTAATGATATGTGCAAATTTTGAGAGTAATATGTAATTCATGTGTAAGACTTTTCATGTTAATATAGAAAATTATGTGTTTGGTCATATTTACGGCTGTTTTTTTTCTCAAAAACACATTATTTTTGTTTGATTCATTTTTTTTTCAACTTTGCCACATAAGGGGAGATAACTCAGATAAAAGTAATTTTTATAATAGAAAGTGTTATGAATTTACCTATTTTAATATGTAGCCAGAAAACAAGTCCAGTGACCCCATTTTTTCTTTTTCTTATCTGAAAGCATGTTATAAGAGCTATCTTCTCACATTTTATCTAAATTTTCTATGGTGTAGTTTTCTTTTTATCACACAAAATTGGATTTTCCATGCATAATCTATATACAAAATCTGACAATTTTGCACAACCTGTAGCGTGAAATAATGTCCGGTTACCTATACTTTTTATTATATTTTGCAAAAAAGCATGATAAAAACTACATCTTGACAAATTATTGAAAAATTCTATGGATTTTAATTAAGACCCCCACCCCATCCACCTTAACAGTACAGCACCTTCTTTTATTTCAAAATAGCGGTACTCAATCGGTCTAGTTCTTTGGTTAAATCTGAAAATTTTGAGACAAAATGGTAGATTTATCTGTAAGACTGTTAATTAATGATAAACAGGGGCGTGACTAGGTATCCATTAGACTGTAGGCAGAGCCCTGGTAGGGGGTTCAGGGGGCCGAGACCCCTGACGGAAAACGGTTTTCAGCATTTTAGTTGCAAAATTTTGTGCATAAAAAAAAATAAAATTTACTGGTCATTTTATCATGATAATATACATGAAAAAAATGTCGAAAAATAAACATAATTCTACAATTTCATCTGACTGGTGAATTAACCGGCAGTACAATCGGAAATATAAAAAAAATCAATATTTCCAATATGCATTGCCCAGCGTAGATCAGCGTAGCCCTTTATTAAGCAGCACAACCTGTTTCTGATTGAGTATAATTGATATATACGTCAATTGATAGTACATATTGACGATCCTACATTAAAAAAAAAATAGGCACGTAAACACTGAGACTACTACATAATAATACTAACTTAATTTAGGACTACGCATCGACCATTCATCTTTTGATTCTTAATCCTTCACCCTCCCCGGCCACACAAACATATACACACAAACACTCGATACGTCATGCAGAAGTTCTGTTCTGTTCATACTATCTAACAAAATTCAAGAAATTCATATTTCCTTATATCCTGTACTGTAAAATCCCTACCTAATTTGAATAATTATGGTCATTACACGGCGTAGATCTGAGAGTACTTGAAGTTACTGAAAGCTAGTTGATTGATTGATTGATTGATTGCTAATCGTCCAGTGGCAAATAGTTCATGCATGTTCAGGACTAAAACAAATAGGGGTCGTCCAGGATGAAGGTCTGGAAATTTGGAAATGCCATTCATTGGAAAATGAAGGTTTATTGGATAGGAACAGAAATATGCCGTTCAGTAGACGACCTATGAACCCCTCAAAGAGTTGTTGCAAGTTTCTTTACGTGCACTACACTAGGCATCGGATTGAACTTGGGCCAACAACAACTAATTGAAACAAAATCATTTATCTAAGATGAGGTTCATTCAAGTATTTGTTGATAGAAGTGAAATGATCTGAACCAATTAAAGTTCTAGTTTATAGTTTCTATATAAGGTGGAATATAATGACATACAGTTCCAATACTCCACTGATTCACTATGGATGATAGACTAGTGTACAAATGACATTCGATAATTAAAGAGTTTTGACGACCTCACATGCATTTACAGATAACATTGTTTATTATATTTTTTAATAAAAAAAAATATTTGTGAAAAAATCATGTGTAGGCACGTGCCTAAAAATAAGTGATGTGTTGCATTATTTAGACTGTTTTTACAAATACAAAATATTTGTTTTAGTGGGATTCAATTTTCCAACTTAGGCATGTAAGGGGAGATAACTCTTATAGCATTTTTGAAAGGAATGTTAATGAAATTTTCATTATGTGCTTGTAGCAAGAAAACAAGCTCGGTGACACCATTTTTATTCTTATTTGACAAAAGCATAGTATCATTGAAAACCTATCATCTCATATTTTCTTTCAAAATTTTATCTGATATCTTTTTATTCACAAAAAAGTTTTTTGTTTTTATGACTGATAATCTATGCAATTGGCTAATTTTGCATTGATTATCAGTCATAAAAACAAGATTGGCTAATTTTGCACAACTTGAAGCTTGATTACACGGTGACTCATACTTTTTATTACATTGTACAAAAAAAGGTATCTACATTTTGGTAAAGTATAAGAAAATTCTGTCTGAGGAAATATTGATGATGATGATGATGATGATGGAAGTTTTTAACGACCTTGACTGGCTATACAGCCCTCGGAAATATTTATAAGATGATCCAATATTTGTATGCAGGCTAGCTTGAAGGTGGAATTAAAGGTCGTGGTTGTCTGCTTCTTTTTATACTCTGATGTTGGGTAAAATATTTTAAGATCATTTATTTAAAATCTAATATTTGTTAACGTAGTTATAAAATCAAAATGATGTGTTATAACGATATTTAAACAAAATTATTTGTGTGTCCTTAACAACTTTACTGGTTTCTATTTATTTTTTTGCTTTTTCTCACGTAGAATAAGACGTATCAACAGGTACCAGTCATCTTGACGACAACAACGCTTCAAAATGGTGGGTGTTATATTATTGGCACCTTTATTATTATATTATTTTATTACAAGTTTCACCTTTCTAAAGGGTATGGGGTGTTTCACAGTGTTATACAACTTTGTCAGCTGTTTTTTGTGTGATTATTTCTGAGAGATAGCGGAGTTCGTAATTTTACTTCATAAAAAATGTTTTTTGCTAAACGGGTCACTGTTAACGTGTTGTTGGGTACAATGAGAACGTCCTCTGTATTCGTTTTATGTTAGGAAAAGTACACATGTTGAAATTAAAGTTGTTAAGGGTACACAGTTTAAACCCCAATCTTAAAACGTATCCAGATTAAATGTGCAATTGTTTTCAGAACCATTTATAATAGTAAGTGGATGATTCTAAATCTGCACTTAACAAGCACTTGCAGATTGTAATGTAAGCCATAAGCAGTAGCCCAAAGCCTCTGTCTAGTATTTATTTCATCGGACTAGTGCAGAAAAACTGTTTTATTGCCCAATCGGTCTAGTGAACATCTGAGAGTGTTTGCAAAATCTTAACCTGTAATTTTGAAGAAAATATACGAGAACAAGTAACAAAATTGTCGCTGACCTTGTTTTCATCCTTTTACTGGTATCACTAAATTATCATTTATGGTTTCTGTTACTTCTAATCGTCAATGCGATAAACCTTATTACCAACAAAATCATAAACGAGGCTAGACCATGTGCCAGCTATAAACAACCTATAAATACCGCTCAATGTAAACAAACAACCATAGCTTCCGATGCTGAAATAGACACATGGGGCTATCCCAGGTTAAACATTGAAAAGGCCTTCACAAATACCAGAAGTTTCAAGTACCAAAAAATAATTGAGGAAAATACGTACTCTAGGCTTTTTAAACAATTGGGAAACGATTGGTCACCTGGTCACCGTGCTTGTTTTAAAACAAAATGTTCATATTTTATAAGGATTATACTTGTAAAAACATAATCAAGAATAGTCTTTGTAATAAACCAAAGGTCATGTGGCCCATGCCAGCAAAATCTTGGCATGTAAAACTTTCATGAAGAGGATACCGATAACAAGCCAAATAGATAATAAAAGAAATTTGATGAAAAACTAATTTTTGGACTTGTCAGTCATTTTGACCATTTATGACAAGTTAAAGCAAAATGGTAGAATTCTTAAATGAATTTGAGGAAAATGCTTATAACTGCTACCCTTTGGAACTACAAAAATGTATGTATGAGGGAGTTCTTCCCCTCCCTTTTAGCTTAGCTGTTTTGGAAAAGGGAGATTTATCGTGACATAATGATTAAGAGTATGATTACTATTGTTTGAAATTGTTTTAAAATAAGATACAAATCAAATCAATTGTATAAATGTTTCCTTTTTGTTCTTCATTTTATTCCCTCCAGCAATGACATATATATAGTATCTGAGATAGGCAAGTTATCAATCTCATCAATATTACGCACTTTACATCATTTATTAAAATTTTCAGTCTTGTGAAAATTGGTTTAATCTAGCAGACATGGTCACTAGCCCAATGGTCTAGTTGTCAAAAAAGTTTTTCACACAGACTGCCCTAGTACTTGTATCTTCATCATCATGGCAGATGTAACAAAATTAAACGAAAATAATCTAAAGGCTTACCTGAAACCAATGATCTGGTTACTTTTGTTCCTTCCAGGTTACCCTATTAGACAAAAAATAAATTTATGTGGGTACAATTTGATCAAGTAAAAGTACCCAGAGTAATTTCTTATGGTACAGCAGAACAGCAATGACCTGTATAGGATACTTCCATTTCGGTTTGGGTTACATTATTATAGGTAAATTGACACAGACTAAGTGCCTCTTATTGGCTTGTGAAGTAAAAAGGAGAGCCACTTGTGCTGAGGATTAGAAATTAAGATTTGAGAAAGTAAAAAAAACATGAACACACAAGTTTTTATTTTTTCAAATGTAAGGACCCTCAATCCTTATCTTAAGTCCTTATGGCAACAATGTACATCAATGGGAATCCTTCATGAATGTGGATTAACATCAAAGATGATTTTCTGTCAGTGCCTTTTTGGTTTGTCTGCTGTTTAGATAGACGTATTTACACTTGTATGCCAATTTTTTGGCCATTACTTAATGTCAAACAAATGTACCACACATTATAGTAAAGCAAACTAGAGTTGTCCATTGGTCTTTTTGTAAGAATGAGAAAATTTAAAATCATTGCTTGATGTAAGTCATTGCTTTAATTGATGGTTTCAGCAATGTTCAGTTATATTAATATTTTTTGTACATCTAGTATTGCTGATCATTTTCGGTGAATACAGTTTCCTATGTGTCATCATAATCTTTATTACTGTAAATTCAGAAATTATTGCGTACATTTATTATTGCGATTGTTAAAAAATGGACATAAATTTGAGTTTAATTATTGCGATTTCAGGAACATCTGCATACAGATATATGTTTCAGATATCAAAATGCGAGTTCTTATTATTGCGATACTCACCCAGTTGCATTATTCGCATTAATAAAAACCTCGCAATAATTTCTGAATTTACAGTAGTTGAAAAACAAGTACAATTTATCTGTTACATTGCACATAGAACAAAAAGGGCTCTTAAATGGAAAATCTGTTAATGTACTGGTTTATTTGTCGGACATGCAGGTTTCAAATTTTTGTCTATTATTTGCAATTGACTGTTTTAAGTGACATAATAATTCCTTTTATGTTTGAATAAAACTAATCATGCTAATGTTCCACCTTGTTTGTCTGTTTTGATACAATCCAAAAATTCGTCATTATTGGTTATGTTAGAGCAAAAATACCAATGCCAAATGAGATTGATATATAATGTCAGAAACTAAATTAATCTGAACCGTTATATGGCAGAATAGGCTGAAAAGCTTTAGTCTGGGTTATCATAGAAATTTCCAATAATGCTGTTTCCATTATCCAGCTAATGAAACTGTCCTTGACACATGTACCAAAAAATGTACATCTCATTAAAAATGACAAAGTGATAGCATGAGTGACATTATTTCGAATTGACATGTATATGATAGGATGTTACCAATACAAGTATGTGCATTGAGAAATGCTAAAGTACTTTTTCTATCATTTTATTTTTTTCATTTACAGGCGGCAAAAGCAACAACAATCAAGGAAGGCTTGGCCAAATGGGTAATTAAAACAAGTTATATTTTGATCTATAGTGACCTCTGTTAGTATATATATGGCATTGTATTTCAGTTATCAAACACTGTAAGTTCATATATTATTGCAATTTTTGAAGAATGGACAGGAATGAGGGATCAATTATGGCGATTTCAGGAAAATCTTAATTCAGATATATGTATCATATATCATTAATACGTCACTTTATGTTTGCACACATTTGTCCTACATTTGCATGAGACAATTTACATGTTAAAAAAGTTGCTAGGTTTGCACAGATTTATCACATTTTCTACTAAAAATTTTATAAAAATTATGATTTTTGAAATTTTACATCCATTTTATCTTTAATGGCTGGTGTGTAAGTACCAGTAAAGGACTGACTGTTAGATTGTGATTCAAACAAGAACAGACAATGTTTGATATATTTAGAATGTTTCTGTTCAGGAAATATGCACTGTACATTTAATTTGAAAATATTTGTTAACATCCATGTAATTGATTTCGATGTTTATATAAACGAATAAAGACCTCTTATTATATATTCATTCTTTTTTCAACAAAAATTCTGTAAAGTTCGGGCACTCAGGATTAAAACTCAGTTAAAAACACAGGTAATTTACAGGTTGTTTGCGCAAACGTAACACCCGTTAAAATTCAAATTCACCCAAAATGCAATTCTTAACCCAGTGGCATTATTCCCATTAATTATAAATTAAAAAAACCTCGCACTAGTTTACAGTAGTGCTTTTATGAACTTTTAAGAAGAAATATTGTGATTTCTTATTTACGAAAAATGCTTTAAAAAGAGCAGTTACTAACCTTCTAAAGACTATGTGCTCAAGTCCTCTATGCTATATGATCCCATATTCAACACCACTAGGATTTAGCTAGTCTATACAAATGAATAAAAGATGTGAGTTATACATTAATGAGACAACAACCCTAAAAAGACACACAAAAAATTGATAGATATACCATTAATCAATTTGATTTTGGAATTCAAGAGATAAATAAAGTGGCCTTGTCATATCTTCTTCTTTGTACATGTATATTGTGTATTATTTTTAAAAACCCATAAACTTTCCAATTTTGAAACAACAGGCTGTGCTTGTCTATATATATAGCTATGATGTTTTCATGTTTGTGTCTAGATACATTTTTGGTAAACTGTTCATATATTCAGCAAAGGATTGCAAAATTATTTTTGATTTCAAAAATCAAAATGGGTAATTATTCTGAATTTCACAACACCATGACTAATGGAAATAAGGTACATGTACATTAATATTCTAATTTGGTCAAAAATGCTTCTTGTTTCCTGATAGAAAAGAAATATTAACGAAAAAAATAAATTTTTAAAAGTAGATTGCAATTTCTTTGCTCTTTGTCATGCTTGTTTCTTGTTAGTACAGAAATATTCATGAAAAATGATTTTTCACAGATGATAGGACACACATCTGGAATTGGACATAACTAACTCCAAAGTTTATTATCTATGGGATGAGCAAGTGGACAGATATAGATATATCTGTTTTAAAAAAAATGTATATTTTATATATTTTGAGATGCATAATGCAATACAGAAAAGTGAATGGAGTATTTAAATAATATGTGTAGAAATGAAGTGAATGTTAAAAGATATGACTCTTATTTCAGGCTGAAAAGAGTGAATGTAAGGCAGAAGAAGCAAAGATTGTCAAACTGTTGGGTCAGGTTCCACCAATAGAAAAGATGGATGCCTCTCTGTCCACGCTATCATGCTGCGAGTATGTGTATTCTTTTTGTAACAAAGTTAAAAAAAATATTGAAATTCCCTCCTGTTTATATTTACATCAAAACATTGACTTTTATGTTAGATCAGAAGGTTTCAATTTAGTCAAAGTGTAACCTAAGGAATCAATTTTTGCACAAAAAGTTAAAAGTTTAACTTTTAATTCACTTTTTTTATATAGGTGTCTATAAGTTTCTGCATGTCACTTTTCTTGGACATCATTTTCATTTTCCCAATGACAATACAATTTGCACCATTTTTCCATGAGAAAATGATTTTTGTCAGAACTTTGAATAGCAGACTATAACTAGCCTGTTACTAGCTGCATTAAGACCAACATCAATCACACTTGACATATAACATTAAGTTCAAATCATTTAGTCCTAAACCGTATTTTCATGATTATGTCAGTAACTCAGTTACTACATTCAATAGGACAACTGTATTTGCTCTGTATGTCCATTGTAAGGGGTGAAATATACCAATCACACAAGGTTTACTGTAAGTACCATAGACTACCTTTACCATGGTTCAGTGAATCACGTTGAGTTTTAATAATAGATCAGTTTCTAAGTTACTATTGAGGAAATGCTATGTAAGCAATGAAATTGTTACTGTATTGTTAAGTTATTTGAAGTGATCAGTACATGTATCTAATATCTTTTTAAAAGTTTCTAATATCTGTTGTCTTTTGCTTTTTTTCCTGTATAAGTCTTTAATATATGTATTGCTTAACCTTGGCTTCAGAATTTCAGCATAGATGTAGTCATTGTAATGTAGAACTTGAAAACAAATATTATAATAATTTTTCTGGTATATTCTGGGTAGATATTTTTAAAATATAGTCAAAGATCACCTGTATTCAGTAAAAACCTGTTTTATAAAACCATTAATTTTATGTTTCTCTGTAATACATTTCATATAGATTTAACCTGTATTAAAAGACCACTTTTCTTATGAGACTACATTTTAGCTCTCACTTTAGTGGTCTCTTAAAACAGGTTTTACTGGAGTGTCATTCATATTGATTATCGACCATTAGAACCTCTTCAGCAGAAGACAGAGCTATTTTGCTTCAGTGGTTAATATTTATTGTTAGTCACATGCAGTTTTTCCTACTCCATCTGTAAACTTATTCAAGTTGAACCATAACTATAAGAAGTGAATGTTTATAAGATTTTGTGGATTGTATGTATTAATTGATTTTTTTCTTTGATTTTTTTCAGACAGCTGTCAATTTCAACAAATACAATTGAAAAGATTGCCAATCTGAATGGTTTAAGTAAGTTTTTATATTTATAAATGTATTAAACTTTTTCACTTAACTCACAGTGCAGAGGGGATCTGGAGACAAATCGGTTCAAATTACCCTTTTTCAAGACACCATAGTTCCTGGCTATATGGCTGCCTAGACTGATGAAAAGGTGTGAAAATGTTTGGTTAAGCGAAACTATCATGACAGTCAAAACGTCATCTGGAGTTACTGTAATTCCACAAATTATTGTATACACTAATTTGCAATTCAAGGACCCCTGGCAAAACCATGTTTTAGTTTTGCAATCCACAGGGACCCACATTTTTTAGGGAGTTATTTATACTAAAGTCATAGGGACTATTTTTGTATTTGAACTAAAGAGAATACACATATTTTGACTGGTGTCACATATAATGGGAATGTAGAAAATACTTTCCAATAAACAATTAAAGTGATATAAATGTTACCAAATTGACTACATATTACACAGTCTGCCAGATATAGTTGAAAAACAACCCCTTAAGTTCTGCAGGTAAAAGTTTACTTACTGAACACACCTATGGTTGAAGGGAGTTAAATCAATCACAAAATGACCAGGGAAAAATGAAAGTCAAAATACAAGGTTATTAATTGCCATCATAAATCATTCACATTTTTTCAATAGTAAACACATCGCAATAATTTCTGAAGTTACAGTATGTTATTAGGCATATACTGCTGAAATTAATTGTAACCACTTTAAGTTCATACAGTACTTGATTTAAAACAACATCATTTTCAAAATTATAAGAATTGTCAACTTTTATTGACCAAAGGGCCAAGTGATCTTTTCTCGTGTGACTTGGCGGGTGTTGTTGTCTGTTAACTCTTCTACTCTGAAACTGCTCTGCCAAATTTAACCAAACTTGGCCACAATCATCATAAGGGTATTTAGTTTAAAAAGTGTTTCAGATGAGCACGCCTGCCAACCAACATGGCTGACATCGCTAAAAATAGAACATATCTTGAAAACCCCTATAAATAGAGAAGGGGGAGGGGGCAGAATGTCGAAATCTGCTTACTGTCCTATTAAGTCTAAACTGTCATATATGACTATTTTATATTTTTATTTATAGTAAATTTGAAAATTTTATCTAAAGGTAGGAATTATAAAAAGTTTTTTACAGAACTGATATGTTGGCGTTTACAGATATGTTGGCATTTATGATTTTTATTCATTTCAGAAAATTTGGAATTAGGGAGGAACAGCTTTATTTAAAACCATTTTACAGGATTGAAGGTTGGCTTATAATACTGTTTTTTTTTCATTTTCAGAACATCTGAAAATTTTGTCATTAGGAAGAAACAGTATAAAGTCGTTAACAGGACTGGTAGGTTTTTTATACAAGTTTTTTGATAAAATATATCTTTTCAAAATCAATTTTATATCATAAAAAAATGTATTTATGTGAAAAATAGGCCAAGTTATATAGTGTTATACAAATTTGCATTTAATTTTAATTTGGATTTTTCAGTAAAAGATCTATTTGTGTCACATTAGATAAATATCTGTCCACTTTAAATCATATGGTTGTGGTTTTGATGGCATATCCTCCACTGAGTCCAGTTTAACCTTTATTGCTGATATTGAGCAAAAACAGTTTGTTTTTAGCACTTTTTTGTGGAATTACATTAGTTTCAACATGATTGATTTTCACTTTTTTTATATCATTGAGAGAAAAAAAAAATAAAATGACAAAATATTGCAGGTATTCATATACAATGTATATATATATATGCAATTAATGTTCTTACTTGAAGTCAAACTTACAATACTCTTTCAGTTAATATAAGGAGCCTCAATGCTATGTTCTCCATTACAAAAATAGACAGACATAAAATACAATGTAGGTCTATAGTACAAAATATTTCATTTGTGACTCATTTCAATTATTCATTCTTTAAAGAATTGATTTACACTGAATGTACTTTGGGATATTATTTATAACTGCTTTCTATTGGAAACATTTTACAGGAAGCTGTAGGGGACACTTTGGAACAGTTATGGATCTCATATAATTTGATTGAAAAATTGAAAGGCATCAACGTTCTTAAAAAACTAAAGGTTAGTAATATTAAGAAGAGTACAAGTTACACCACTTATGTTTGTTAAAACAATATATATCTTTAATTTTTAAGTCTCCCAAACGAAGTTTGGGAAGACTTATTGTTTTTGCTCAGTTCTTATTATTATTATTATTATTCTTCTTCTTCTTCCGCCGCTTTTAAATTTGAACTTGTCCGCACCCATTCTCCAAAACCGCTTGTCAGATTAACTTAGGGTTTCACAATATGTTAGACTAACATGTCTAGTGGTGCAATCAGGGTTTTGTTTGTGCAATGGGGTTTATAAAGGGGTACTTTGAGGGGCAAAAAAAAAAGAGGGTTTTACTATAGAACCCTATGGGATTTTATTTTTTTTAATTTTCAAATGATTATAAATTGAAAACCGTTTGTGACAGACACAATCTTTTTAATTGAAAATGTTCTAAATGATAAAGCCCATTAAATGAAATACAGGGTTAGTCCCCAGGGGTCATCCCCACCCCCTGCCATTTAAGAAATTCTAATACCTTGTAAGTGGTCAAGATCCCCACCCCTAAACCATATATATTCTGGTTTGTCATGGGAAGATGGTTTGAATGATATACAGGGTTAGTCCCCAGGGGTCATCCCGACCCCCTGCCATTTGAGAAAGTTCTAATATCTTGTAAATGGTCGAGATCCCCACCCCTAAACCATATATATTCTGGTTTGTCATGATAAAGCACATCAAATGAAATACAGGGTTAGTCCCCAGGGGTCACCCCCACCCCCTGCCATTTAAAAAAGTTCTAATATCTTGTAAGTGGTCAAGATCCCCACCCCTAAACCATATATATTCTGGTTTGTCATGCTAAGATGGTTTGAATGATATACAGGGTTAGTCCCCAGGGGTCATACCGACCCCCTGCCATTTGAGAAAGTTCTAATATCTTGTAAATGGTCGAGATCCCCACCCCTAAACCATATATATTCTGGTTTGTCATGATAAAGCACATCAAATGAAATACAGGGTTAGTCCCCAGGGGTCGACCCCACCCCCTGCCATTTAAGAAAGTTCTAATATCTTGTAAGTGGTCCAAATCCCCACCCCTAAACCATATATATTCTGGTTTGTCATGCGAAGATGGTTTGAATGATATACAGGGTTAGTCCCCAGGGGTCATCCCAACCCCTGCCATTTGAGAAAGTTCTAATATCTTGTAAATGGTCGAGATCCCCACTCCTAAACCATATATATTCTGGTTTGTCATGCTAAGATGGTTTGAATGATATACAGGGTTAGTCCCCAGGGGTCATCCCGACCCCCTGCCATTTGAGAAAGTTCTAATATCTTGTAAATGGTCGAGATCCCCACCCCTAAACCATATATATTCTGGGTTGTTATGATAAAGCACATCAAATGAAATACAGGGTTAGTCCCCAGGGGTCACCCCCACCCCCTGCCATTTAAGAAAGTTCTAATATCTTGTAAGTGGTCAAGATCCCCACCCCTAAACCATATATATTCTGGTTTGTCATGCGAAGATGGTTTGAATGATATACAGGGTTAGTCCCCAGGGGTCATCCTGACCCCCTGCCATTTGAGAAAGTTCTAATATCTTGTAAATGGTCGAGATCCCCACCCCTAAACCATATATATTCTGGTTTGTCATGATAAAGCACATCAAATGAAATACAGGGTTAGTCCCCAGGGGTCACCCCCACCCCCTGCCATTTAAAAAAGTTCTAATATCTTGTAAGTGGTCAAGATCCCCACCCCTAAACCATATATATTCTGGTTTGTCATGCTAAGATGGTTTGAATGATATACAGGGTTAGTCCCCAGGGGTCATACCGACCCCCTGCCATTTGAGAAAGTTCTAATATCTTGTAAATGGTCGAGATCCCCACCCCTAAACCATATATATTCTGGTTTGTCATGATAAAGCACATCAAATGAAATACAGGGTTAGTCCCCAGGGGTCGACCCCACCCCCTGCCATTTAAGAAAGTTCTAATATCTTGTAAGTGGTCCAAATCCCCACCCCTAAACCATATATATTCTGGTTTGTCATGCGAAGATGGTTTGAATGATATACAGGGTTAGTCCCCAGGGGTCATCCCAACCCCTGCCATTTGAGAAAGTTCTAATATCTTGTAAATGGTCGAGATCCCCACTCCTAAACCATATATATTCTGGTTTGTCATGCTAAGATGGTTTGAATGATATACATGGTTAGTCCCCTGGGGTCATCCCGACCCCCTGCCATTTGAGAAAGTTCTAATATCTTGTAAATGGTCGAGATCCCCACCCCTAAACCATATATATTCTGGGTTGTTATGATAAAGCACATCAAATGAAATACAGGGTTAGTCCCCAGGGGTCACCCCCACCCCCTGCCATTTAAGAAAGTTCTAATATCTTGTAAGTGGTCAAGATCCCCACCCCTAAACCATATATATTCTGGTTTGTCATGCGAAGATGGTTTGAATGATATACAGGGTTAGTCCCCAGGGGTCATCCTGACCCCCTGCCATTTGAGAAAGTTCTAATATCTTGTAAATGGTCGAGATCCCCACCCCTAAACCATATATATTCTGGTTTGTCATGATAAAGCACATCAAATGAAATACAGGGTTAGTGCCCAGGGGTCACCCCCAACCCCTGCCATTTAAGAAAGTTCTAATATTTTGTAAGTGGTCAAGATCCCCACCCCTAAACCATATATATTCCTATTCGTCATGTCTCGAACATTTAAATGACGTATACGGTCAGTCCCCAGGGGTTCCCCCCACCCCCAATGTTCTAATATCTTGTAAATGGTCGAGATCCCCACCCCTAAACCATATATATTCCTGTTCGTCATGTCTTGAACATTTGAATGACGTATAGGGTCAGTCCCCAGGGGTTCCCCCCACCCCCAATGTTCTAGTATCTTGTAAATAGTTGAGATCCCCACCCCTAAACCATATGTATTCTGGTTTGTCAAGCCAAGATGATTTGAATGATATACAGGGTTAGTCCCCAGGCATCACTAATGCATTTACTGGACCAAACCAATTTTCACTGGACTTTGCCCAATGTCAGATGACCCTGGGAATTACGAATTAAGGGAGCTTCGTTTGGGAGACTTCGTAACAGCATCCTGTTACAATCATTTCTTGTTATCTACAGACTTTCATGATATATCTCTCTGATTAAAAACACAAAATCTCTGAATATTCATAAGCTGACAAACAAATTCATTCAATCACTCATATGTCGGAAGGATGGTGAAACCTATATTTCATGGTTCATTGATCAGAGTGAAAAGTGTTTATTTGTATGCCCAAAATAGTTAAATTACTATGAAATGTATTTGACATTATGTTTTTGAGTTAAACACTGACATTTTCTCATTGGTTTATTTTAGTTATGTTATTTAAACTTGACTACCTAAATTGTCAATTGGTTATTTGCTCATGATAATGGCTAAAGGAGGTTAGGAAGTACTATTTATTAGTCAATCTTTTTATTGAAATGAATGAGTTATAAGCCTGGTATCTGGTGAGTTTTTACCTAATATTGATGTTTAAAATTGGAACCAATCTTTAATGTTTGTTCATAATTGTATAATCAATAAAATGCTCCGCTGGGGCGCAGCTTGATACGACCGCAGAGGTCGAACCCTGAACAGTTGGGGCAAGTATGGACACAACATTCAAGCTTGATACAGCACTGAATTTGGATTGTAATTAAATATTTGACACAGCATAGGTTTCTGACACAGAATAAATGTGGTCTAAGAACTTAAAAATTTTTAATTTATCTATTCAAACCATATCATTATTATTTGCTTTTATATATAAATCAGTAATAACCAATTTAAAATGGAAAATTTTAAAGAAAAAAAGGGAAAAAAAATCCCCCCCCCCCCAAATTTTTTGAACCCCCTTATGATTCATCACCCCCAAACTCAATCCCAGCCTTCCCTTTGTGGTATGGTACCTTGCAGTACACATACATGTGATGGACTGTGAAACTAAGATCAGGAGTTTTGGAGATTAGGACTCAGATCAGGATGTTTTTAATCGACATAAATTCTGTCGTAAATGTAACCGTGTTCTGTAGAAATTGTCTGTTAAAGTGTGTTTTCTTCAACTTTCCATCCGAATGTATTATGTTTATAGTACCTTTGTACTTATAAATTTTCTCTATCTTTTTAAACTTTCAACTTGTTCAATCTAACATTCTTCTTTTTCAGTATGTTCTTTAAATTTTTTAGGTCATATCTTTCTTCCCATTATTCATTGCAATCAGAACATTTGCTTATCTATCTGCAAGTAGATCTTTTATTTTTATCTTTATGCAAGTAGATTTATAATGCATGATAGGTAACACATTCAAACTGTAAACATGGGTCATAGTTATTATATAAATTTCAATTTAAGCCTTTAAAGGAAGTATAGAATCCTCAAATAATTTTCAAATTATTATTTTTTTATTTGTCCTAAAACATTTAAAATCATTTAATTTCCATCCTTTTATGATTATTTGTTCAATTTATATTTTATTTATATTCTTTTAAAAATTTACATTATTTAAAGGAAAATAACTTAAAACAGGATAAATCAAGGGAAGTAACCTAACATTCATTTTAAATAAACAAAGTTTTATTACACAACGGCAGTTAGCCTGAGGTAAAAATCGTTTATTACCAGTATGTTTGACACCCAAGGTGACAAGTGAGGCCATATAATTATGCATTTTAATTGATTTACAGGTAAAATATAACTTCAGTAATGTCAGTTACACCAGATATGTTGGGCTGAAATTTTTCATTCATGAAATATTTCATACACAGGATTTTTTTGTCTTCAACTGGAGGTCGGGAGGAGACCCCTGAAAACGGGATTATTGTACTCCCGTCGGGAGGTTCACATGTATGAACTGTACAATTTCAGAGAGATCCATACACTTGAACACAAGTTATTGTCTGGAAACAAGAAAAATGCTTGTTTTTTGGCCCCAAATTCCTAAACATTTAGGGCAATTACCCCCAAACTCAAACCCAGCTTTCCCTTTGTGATATGGAACCTTGCAGTACAATTTCATAAAGATCCATACACTTACACACAAGTTATTGTCCTGAAACTAGAAAAATGCTTGTTTTTTTGCCCCTTTATGGCCCCTAATTCCTCAAATTTCTAGGGAATTATCCCCAAAATCAATCCCAGCCTTCCCTTTGTGGTTTGGTACCTTGCATTAAAATTTCAGAGAGATCCATACACTTGAACACAAGTTATTGTCTGGAAACTAGAAAAATGCTTATTTTTTGCCCCTTTTTGGCCTCTTATTCCTAAACGTTGTGGGCAATTACCCCCAAAATCACTTCCAGTTTTCCCTTTGTGATATGGAACCTTGTTGTACAATTTCATAAAGATCCACACACTTACACACAAGTTAATGTAATGAAACTAGAAAAATGCTTGTTTTTTGCCCCTTTTGGCCCCTAATTCCTAAAATTTGGAGGCAATTACCCCCAAAATCAATCCCAGCATTCCCTTTGTGATATGGAACCTTATGGTACAATGTCAGAGAGATCCATACACTTACACAAAAGTTATTGTCATGAAACTAGAAAAATGCTTGTTTTTTTTCCCCTTTTTGGCCCCTAATTCCTAAAATTTGGAGGCAATTACCCCCAAAATCAATCCCAGCATTCCCTTTGTGATATGGAACATTGTGGTACAATGTCAGAGAGATCCATACACTAACACACAAGTTATGTCTGGAAGTTACAAAAATGCTTATTTTTGGCCCCTTTTTGGCCCCTAATTCCTTAACTGTTGGTACCATAACCCCCAAAATCAATCCCCACCTTCCTTTTGTGGTATTGAACCTTATGGTAAAATTTCATAGAGATCCATTCACTTAAACTAAAGTTAGAGTGCGAAAACCAATGTGTATTCGGACGACGACGCCGGACGACGCCGGACGACGACGACGACGACGACGACGACGACGACGCCAACGTCATACCAATATACGACCACAAAATTTTTTTGCGGTCGTATAAAAATGAAATATTTTGTTTCTAATATGTCTGAACTTTTGTAGGTTTTATACATGTCAAACAACAGTGTTAAAGATATGGCTGAATTTTCAAAATTGGTGAGTATACATTTCTATTGTTTTGTCGAAAGTCAGCTAAGAATACAAATTTCTATAGTATTTCCTGGATTTGCTTTATAACCACATGAAAAAAGGACATTAAGTGGTCAAACCAATATGTGTTATGAATGACGATAAATATTTCATCAATTAATATTTTCTTTCTGTTTTACATGAGGGAGAGTATGACAGGCTTAAGGATAAGTGTTTATGTCCAATATTTTTACAACATATATACGTGAGCGTGTACAAAGAACAACAAAGTAAAGTTTGCATGTTTGCTAGATGGCCCTTAAATTCAGTATTATTTTGTTTGTGGTGAACCCTAGCTCTTATGGTCCTTTTGATATTTTTTTTTTATTTGTATTCGTATCTATGGGTGGCAATTCAAAAAAGAATCCCAAGGACCATTTTCAATTTCATGTTAAATTTTTTCTAATGCAAATAATCTTGTCCTGTCAAATCTTTTTATCATCTGCAAAGGAAAATAAAACTCATGTATTCTTTTAAATATAATTAAATTTGAGAATACAAATCATTAGAATTTTATAATGACTCATTAACATTAATATGAGAATTTTCATGCTTATTTAATTTTTTAATACAGGCTGATTTACCATGCCTTGAGGAACTTGTATTCACAGGTAAGTTTATTTTAATATTTCTCATTTGATTGATTATTTTTTTTAATGTAGATTAAGAAAAATGTCAAACATTGATTAAGAATCATGTGACAAATAAGTGGGTGACTTTTCCTTTACTTCGTAGTGATGTTTTGTGGGGTCCGACTTATGAAATGTACATATCTCAATTTGTTAAATATGTGCATATTTGCAGTGAAGTTACAAGATTTCAATGAACATAATATTTTCATTTCTGAAAAACATCAACAGAAGGGATATAAATATAAATTTATAAAAACTATTACCGGTACTTTATTTTACCATAATTGTATAACCTGTAGTGACCTGTACACAATCAATGAACATCTAGATAAAGGGAACTTATAATGATGTTTTTACAGGTAATCCTCTAGAAGAGAGATTGACCGCCGAAGGAACTTACAGAACTGATGTGGCTAATAAACTTCCAAAGTTGAAAAAATTAGATGGTGAGTTCAATGTATTTCATGTTAGCAAAGATCTAGTTATATTATTATCCAAACATTTTAACCTCATAATGCTGGTTATAGAATGAAACGATACATAGGTTATATATATAAGTAACTAAGAACTTAACTTATTGATAGTGTAATTTTTGGTATTTACATTTTAATAAAAAAAAATCTGTTGCTATTTGAAAAAAATACTCTTATTATCAAATAATGCATTTGAATGTATTGACATCTTTACGCCAAAATTTCTTTTGTTCATACATACAATTTTATCTTACAGGTGTGCCAGTAATCAGAGAAGAAGATGATGAAGATTAAAGAATTATTTTATCTGATTGAACTTGTCATTGAAAACATAATGTGCCTATTTTTATCAAAAGAAAAAAATCAGCACTCAGATCCTTTGAATCTATATATGTTGAAATTGTGGGGAATTCACACTGATCATCATACAGGATGTCATAAAAAATAAAGTTTGGACTAGCTGACAGGATGACTTCTGAATATATCATGTGACATTTAGACATTTAGGATGAAGAAATAATTGGGGATTTTTATACCATTGCCTATAATGGATTTCTTTACAGTTGCAAGTGTTGTTTTTTTGACAGGCAAACTATGTTATATTATGTTATTTTATAAATGCATTTGAAACACAAAAGAACATTAATTCAATTACTATTATGCTTCTTTCCTGCTGATAATTGTTAATAATTATTCAGATATAGTTAAAGATGTTATCATTATTCAGTTATTTTTTCAATATTTACTATTCTATTTTTATTTTATAAGTTTTTATATGAATCTGTCCTGTAATAACAAATTGTGAAATCCTACAACGGTTGACTAAATAAACGACTTCAGATAAGTTAACACTTGAAAGTCAATAAGTAAAGACATCCATTTTATGAGATTTATTATTACCAGAGAATTTTTCCTTAGTAATTTCCTGTTAAATATTATGTTCAAATATTTTATGTATAACAAATTTAAGATTTTCAAGTCGAATTATGAATATTATATTATTATTCATAAGTATGTAAACAAATTCTGTGTACCTCATAAAGGAGCAGTTTCAGGATTTCTAATTTTCTTGTATTGATATTTATTTGTTGACGATAAAGAATAAAAACATTCCATCTATTACATTGTTTTCTTGCCTATTATTGTTATTTGACCATGAAGAATATGTGTTTGGGTTTTTAGCTCATCTGGCCCAAAGGGCCAGTATGAGCTTTTGCCATCACTTTGCTTCCATTGTCTGTCGTCCATTTTCATTTTACTTTCACAAAGATCATCTTCTCTAAAACTACTATGCCAGATTTAACCAAACTTGGCCACAATCATCATTGGGGTATTTAGCTTAAAAAATGTGACTGATAAACGTGCCTGCCCACAATCATGGCAGACATGGCTAAAAATAGAACATGGTGGTAAAATGCAATTTTATGTAACTTGAAAAAAAAATGTTCTGAATTGATGAGATCCATGTTCTGTCTATCGACATCAAATCGTTGGATGACTTCTTTTAGGAGTTATTGCACTTAAACAACGAATTTACCATTTTCCCCCCCATTTTTGCCTATTATTTTGGTAATGATAATAGATAGACAAACTTTAAATGGCAAAAATGATCAACAAGACAAGATCTACAGATAAGTCAAATAATTGAAATCTCCAGTTGACTTGTTTTTGGAGTTATTACCCTTCAGTGACGATTTTTCCTAATATTTTGCATTTAGCAGAATTGGTCAGCAAGACAATTTCTTGCAATAAGTAAACTTGACCAAAATCGTCAGTCGACTCCTTATTGAAGTTTATTGTCCTGTAATGGTGAATTTTACCATTTTTTACTTTTTTTACCTATTATCTTAAAAACTACAGTAAATTGGCCTGAGAACACAGTTATTTCGTAGTCCATTTCTTTTAGACAAAAAACGCAAATTGAAAAAATCGCACCTGCTCTATCCAATAAAGATTTTTACAGTGTAGTGTACTACTTTTGGTACAAATTATATCAAAATTATAGAAAATTCTATCAGCTCTAACTCAAAATATGGACAATTTAACTTTGAGGAGGTCTGTAATTCAGTTTAACAGCTTCAGACACACTAATTTTTGAGCTTTTCAAATTGGACCAAATCACTACTTTACCTAAAAATTCATGCCACAAATTTTTTTACATGTAATTTCATCCCCCTACTTACTATTTTATGCATAAAATATAAAGAAATGAATTTGAAAGATGTATGAAAAAAATTTGCAAGTTATACACTGTCCACACCAAGGATTCTATTTGTAGACAACGAAAATCAATGGACAATAACTGTGACCCCTGACCAATTCAGAAATTATTGCATGCATTTATTATTGCGATTTTTATCAAAAGGACAAAATTGCAAGATTAATTATTGCGATTCCAGGAAAATCTGTAAACAGATATATGTATCGAAAATCATAATGTGAGTTCTTATTATTGCGATACTCACCCAGTCGCATTATTCGTATTAATAAAAACCTTGCAATAATTTCTGAATTTACAGTGTAATAGATAAATAGAAACTTTAAGAGGGAAAAATTATCATCAGGACAAGATCATATTGTCAGTTAACTCTGTAAAGAGTGATTGCCCTTTGATAATTATTTTTTCAAAAAATGTGGCTTTTGTGGAAGATGCAGGTGAGTGTCACAGGCTTTTTAGTGTCTCTAGTTTTGTTGATGACAGGATCATCTTGGTTTTGAAGTTTGTTATTTTACAGTTTCTGGTTATAGCTATCACTATTGATATATTGTACCCTGTTGAATTAGTTCCCCTGAATCTTTATTGTAAGTAATATATGAAGATGGGCCCATTAATAACGCTTCATTGCCAGAAATTCTTACATTCTCAATTGTAAAGCTTATTGATAGGTTTGTTTATGAATAATAACTCATGCTCAGTCATTGATGAATATTATTTAGACCTGAAGATATCAGCTTGAATCAGGAGGACTATGAGAATGTCATGCTATTTAGACCTGAATATCAAGTTGAATGAATGTCATATATAATATTTAGATCTGAAGATATCAATTTGAATCAAGAGGACCATGAGAATATCTATTTTGACCTGAAGATATCAAGTTGAATCAGGAGAACCATGAGAATGTCATTTTTTTTGGTTCATTGGTCAACATTAAGCTTCATTCCAATCATACAAGGGAGACTCAGATTACCATCCAGAAACCATTTTTTAAGAAAATTCTATCTTGACCTTGAATTTGACCCATTGACCCCAAAATCAATAGACTTCTTCCCCTTCCCTAGTATGAGTTTCATTCAAATTATTGTAAGTGAAACTCAATTTACCAATCAGAAACCATGTCCTTTTGACAGACTGCAGACAGGTAAAGCTATAACTATACATTCAAGATTTTTTTTTAAAGGTATAAATGCAAGAACTACTGTATATCATTTCGAAGCTCTCTCCCATATCATGCAACTTCATAAACAACACCTATTTTTGTAAACATCAAGAGCGAAATATCAGTTTTTATTTTACTGATATATCAGGTACTTCATTGCAACCAATGTAAAAATACACCATACTTCATTTGTTTTGTTTAAGATATCTGTAATATTGAAAATAATGGTAACATTAGAATTTTGGAGTTGGGGTGGCTTTATCTCATTCACCTTGTCCATCCATCCATTCCTCCAACAAATATTTTCTTCCCACTTTTCTCAGGTACTACATAATAGAATGACTTCATAATTGGTCAGCAGTTTGACAGTGATGAATTGTAGTGTATGAACACTTTTCAGTATGTTGAATGAACTTTTCTCAAGTACAACTAATATGTCAGCAGTGGTGGGAGCGCTTTTCAAATCTGCCAAACACATACTTCCTGTTTTGCGATACTTTGATTTACAAGCAGGGGAATGCATTGAACAAAAATGTATGCTTTCTTGTTATTAAAAACTAGAGGCTCTAAAAAACCGGAGTTGCTCACCTGCATCTTCAACAATGGCCACTTTTTAGTAACAAGAGTGCTCACGCTGAAATGTCTCGCCTGCTTTACTGACCATTGATTTTATGTTGAAATTCTTAAAGATAAAGGTTAAACTAAAAGCATCACAGAAACTCAGGTCAAATAAATGCTGTCAAACAGACATATACGCCTTATAATTTTTTTTAATACACAAAATATATTTGACCTATTGCTTATGATGATTGAAAAACAGACCAAAACAAAAGAAACTTAACCTTGACCTATGAACCATGAAAATGAGGTAAAGTTCAAATGATACCTGCCAGACAGACATATACACCTTACAATCTTTCCATACACCAAATATAGGTTACCTTTTGCTTATAGTACTTGAAACATAGACCAAACCACAAAAACTTAACATTGACCAATTAACCATGAAAATGAGGTCAAGGTCAGATGATACCTGCCAAACAGACATGTACACCTTACAATCCTTCCATACACCAAATATAGTTGACTTATTGCTTATAGTACTTGAAACATAGACCAAACCACAAAAACTTAACATTGACCAATGAACCATGAAAATGAGGTCAAGGTCAGATGAAACTTGCCAGACTGACATGTACCCATTACAGTAATTCTATATACCAAATATAGTTGACCTATTGCTAATAGTACTTGAAAATCAGACCAAAACACAATAAAATGCTCCGCTGGGCGCAGCTTGATACGACCGCAGAGGTCGAACCCTGAACAGTTTGGACAAGTATGGACACAACATTCAAGCTTGATACAGCACTGAATTTGGATTGTGATTAAATATTTGACACAGCATAGGTTTCTGACACAGAATGAATGTGGTCTAAGAACTTAAAAATTTTTAATTTACCTATTCAAACCATATCATTATTATTTGCTTTTATATATAAATCAGAAATAACCGATTTAAAATGGAAAATTTTAAAGAAAAAAAAGGGGAAAAAAATCCCCCCTCAAATTTTTTGAACCCCCTTCTGATTCATCACCCCCAAACTCAATCCCAGCCTTCCCTTTGTGTTACAATGTATGGTGCCTTGCAGTACAATTTCAGAGAGATCCATACACTTGAACACGAGTTAATGTCTGAAAACTAGAAAAATGCTTGTTTTTTTGCCCCTTTTTGGCCCCAAATTCCTAAACGTTTAGGGCAATTACCCCCAAACTCAAACCCAGCTTTCCCTTTGTGATATGGAACCTTGTAGTACAATTTCAGAAAGATCCATAGACTTACACACAAGTTATTGACTGTCATGAAACTAGAAAAATGCTTGTTTTTTGCCCTTTTTTTGGCCCCTAATTCCTAAAATTTTGAGGCAATTCCCCCCAAAATCAATCACAGCATTCCCTTTGTGATATGGAACCTTGTGGTACAATGTCAGAGAGATCCATACACTAACATACAAGTTATGTCTGGAAGTTATAAAAATGCTTGTTTTTGGCCCCTTATTCCTTAACTGTTGGTACCATAACCCCCAAAATCAATCCCAACCTTCCTTTTGTGGTATTGAACCTTGTGGTAATATTTCATAGAGATCCATTTACTTTAACTAAAGTTAGAGTGCGAAAACCAATGCGTCTTCGGAAGACGACGACGCCAACGTCATACCAATATACGACCACAAAAATTTTTTTGCGGTCGTATAAAAACTTAATACTGACCAATGAACCATGAAAATGAGGTCAAGGTTAGATGATATCTGCCAGACAGACATGTACACCCTACAATCCTTCCATACACCAAATATAGTTGACCTGTTGCCTATTGTACTTGAAAACAGATCAAAACACAAAAACTTAACATTGACAATGAACCATGAAAATGAGGTCAAGGTCAGATGAAACCTGCCAGACTTACATGTACCCATTACAGTCATTCCATACACCACATATAGTTGACCTGCTGCTTATAGTATTTCAGAAACGGACCTAATCATGTACCTATAACCTTGATCACTGATCCATGAAATGAGGTCGAGGTCAGGTGAACCCTGTCTGATGGACATGTAGACGTTTCAAGGAACCCATATACCAAATATGGTTATCCTATTACTCATAATAAGTGAGAAATTCACATTAAAACTCTTTTTTTTTTTTCAAGGAGTCGTTGAACCATGAAAATGAGGTCAAGGACATTGGACATATGACAGACAGAAACTTTGTCACATAAGGTATCTGCATACAAGATATGAAGCATCCAGGTCTTCTACCTTCTGAAATATAAAGCTTTATACAAATAGTTTACGTCGCTGCTGCTGGATAGTAATACCTATGTCTTGCATACTGCGACTTTTGTCGCAGGCGAGACAAAAATCATCTTTACAGGGCAATAACTCTATTAAGAGTTAACTGACAATTTCAGTCATGTTCATGTATTTATAGATCTTATCTTGCTGATCACTTTTCCCTTTTAAAGTTTCTATTTACCATATCTATTATAGTTTTCAAGATAATAGGCGGGGTCATTGGGCACATTTTTCAAACTAGATACCCTAATGATGATTGTGGCCAAGTTTGGTTAAATTTGGCCCAGTAATTTTAGAGAAGATTACCAAAGAGGTAGTTAAACAGAAAGAAATGCAAACTCCATCTGCAAGTCATCATAGACTTGTGTACCAACAAGCTGATATGCAGGCATAAGGCAATGACAGATACCAGTTTGATTTCAAGAGGGTGTACATATGGTAACACTATATGCCCTGGCCACTATGTGGCAGGAACATAAAATTTCAAAACACACTAACAATGTTAGCGGCTGTTCAATTAAAACATATATGGTACCAAGGGAAGGCACTTTCAAAATGGAATAACCACCTATACAGACTATTTAAGAATTTCATCTACTTTTTTCCTTTACAAAAAAGTATTTGACACCTACCCATAGTTGAGATTTAAAAGTGTCCATGTGTCATGTATGTTTTCATCAAACAGTCCTTTATATGAAATTAAATGTCTACCATAAAGGAGGAAAACGCTCTTTCTTTAAAGAGCACCAGGTTTTTTTTCCTGTAAATTGATTCCTTCAAAGCATGAAAAGTAATGACTATTTTAACACAGTACTCAAGCAATGACAAATCTGATTTCAAAGGGTTTTTAATACTTTATTGTCTGTTTTTTTCACAGATCTAATAGAAAATGTAGATAACTAACACATGATGAACAAAGTGTATGACTACATGTACTATAAATATGACACAAAAATTATAACATGGGACATAATCACAAATATACACCATTCAAAATCTTGACAATAGTTTCTTGAATTTACTACACTACTGTAATTTTTTTTTAATGTGAACTGTCAAAACATCTTGTTGGCTTATTTTCAATTTGTTTTCATTAAGAACAGCGACTAATTTCTCAAAACATCTTACGAGAAATACTTGTAAGTCATGACCATTTCAGTATAACTTATGATAAATTTTGTCATAAGATTTTTTGTTAAAAGAGCCCCAGATTTTTACTCAACATTCAATGGTCAAGCATTTCTCTTAGAAAAGGTATTCTGTATGTGTACTTTTTTTCCACTGTGTAATATTTTCCTAAATTTTGCAAAAATTAATATACATGTGAATACAAATGCAGTTTGCATGCATATAAAAATGATTGAATAAATACACACCGGAATAACCAACTTTACATGCATGTTTAACTTGTTTATATTACATAACCTCAATTGAACTGTGAAACTGATATAACAACAACAGTGATCCATACAAAATCCAAATAACCTTTTCACTGATAGCCGCCCTGACAGAAATTATTCCGAGACAATAGCTTCCCTGACTATAAGTTGAAGAACTTCATATTAAGTATCAATAAAAAAAAATTCGGCATTGAAATACATAAAATTCACAAAATTCGTCTTTTGGACCCCAAAACATAAATTTTTAACCCATAAGTTTGAAAATTTCAACGAGGTTAAAAATAAAAATGTTCCCTTACTTCAAATTCCAGCAAAATACATAAATTTCAATTGATTTTGACATGGTTCTCAACAAATGGAAGTGCCATGTTTACACTTTTATCACTTTTATTCAGGCAATAAAAAAAGAAAGATAACTTGTTTGCAATGTTTTTCAGCTGGAAAAAAAAGAGGTATCCCTATCCCAGTAAACACCGTTAGCTGTCTGAAGAGTGAATAAAAGTAAACAAGGATTCGTCGGCGAAAGGGTGAAGGATAAAAAGGAATAAAGGTTACAAATTATGCCCCAAGCCAAATATGACAGTTTTACTGTGTAACTAAAATCTTAATCCGATAATAACCTCTATCCAACAGACGACTGTTTTGATGATTGAATAATCTTTGTTTATTTTGTTTCATATCATTAAACAAACAAAAAAGACCTTTTTTTTTTTTTTAGAAAACCGCAAATATTAACTACACACGAAAAAAAAGTACATATACAGTATAACCTACAGCAACAGGTATTTTAAAAGTAATGTCTTATGCTCTTGAAAAACTATATATGCATAAAATGATAAAGTGAATTACAACTTTCAGGTTAATATGCATCATCATACAATATTATCTAGGATTTTTCACTCTTGAACATTTATACTGTACATGATTTCTGCTAAATAATTCAAACAAGACCAAAATGTATGAGTAAGCAAATAACCCCTCCAAAACAGATATATAAGTTCAAATCTTTGTAAACATTGCATTTTAAATACTTATAAAATGAATGCTTTAACAGCTATTTACCAAATGTTTAAAGCATTTCATAAACATACTCATTTAGCAAGGAAGATTTTTTTTGATACATTGATTCCAAAAATTAAATGAAGAACAACTTGTTTATAAAATATTATTTCAGCATAACATAGGAATTGCATGAAAACAATACAGACTAAATATATTGAAATGGAAGTTAATTTTATACTGTCACATACAACCTGAATTCAGACATTATGAAAACTTTGACTTTTCCATAGGAAAAGGTCACACATTTGATACAGGATTACACAATTGTACATTATCATATAATAATCTGACACCTAATCTATAATCTGACAGATAAATAAGCTTTCTATCTGTAAAGATTTTTTTCAAGCTTATTTAATATATTTTAAAACGATTTATTTTCATCAAATATCTAATTATTTAGCTAACTAGTTAATACAGACCATTGATAACAACTTTATCATGAAATTTCTTTTAAGATATTTAAGAAACTATTGAATGAACTTTAAAAATTTGGCAGTTGTTTATAATGGACAAATTTTCCATATCAAGATTTCTGCAACATCAAATAAGGTTAAATACAAATTGAAATGACAATGCATGGGTCATGCAGTTTGAAATGTGTTTTGAGTGTTTTATCTAATGATATGACATCTACAGAAGGCATGATAATCAGTGACATGTTTTATGAGACACAGGCATTGCCAGTTCAGACCTTACATGTAGAAAGAACACTTATATACATATACTTCTTGTTTTATGTATTTACAAATTTACACAATATAATGTACATGCCATTAAATACACAATGAAAGCACTGAAACATCTGATGTTTTAGAATATAAACAAATGGAAATATACTACCATGATGTACAGATATTTTCATATCACAAAAATGGCACCAACAAAAATGAACAATGATAATAGAACTTCATTATGAAGTATTATTATGTATTTGAAAGGAACGAAGTCTTTCAAAAAAAAAATCAACAGGAGATAAACATGATATATCTCAATTAATAAAATAATTTACCTCTTGATAAAAAAGGGCAGAAAGAAATATGTGTACTCAAGTAAAAAGTTATAATATAATAAGTAAATCAAACAGTTAGTTTCAAAGTGTATGTATATGTGGCATGCATACAAGTTGAAAGAGGATATTTGAAGGTTTCAAAGGTAAATGTTTATGTAAAATATTATTTCATGGGGTGAAATAATCAATAAAATGTCAATCTTGCATTTCTTCTGGGATTTCATGTGGTCCAATGATACCAGGAACAGCTAGCTGCTGTTTACGTTTTTCTTCTTGTGCACTTTTGATTGCCGTTTCTCGTTCTTCCAAAAACAGATCAGCATTGTCTTCACCTGCATATTCCTGAAATCATAAATTGCAAATGCTTAATTTACTTAAAGAAAACCAGAAATTAAACCATAAACAGCTGCACTAGGAGCACAAGTTGTATACATATTGCAAGAATAAAATGGAACTAGATATCATTGAGATGGGAGCCATCTCTGTGGGCCCAGCTGGGAAAAATGTCTGGTAAAAAATTTGTATCTTTATCATTGGACATGGAGTTGTCAACTGAAACAAAAGTTTTTTACCTTGACCTTTGACCTAGGAAGTTGTACATAAATTATGACACACCCTCTGGTGTTGGTTTATATACATTTCAAGTATAAATTTTGAAATCATAACGGTTCTCAAGATATAGAGCGGACACGATCTTTACCATAGGACATGGGGTTGTCAACTAAAACCAAAGTTTTTGACCTTGACCTTTGACCTAGGCAGTTGTACATACATTATGACACACCCTCTGGTGTTGGTTAATATACATGTCAAGTATAAACTTTGAAATCATAACGGTTCTCTAGATATAGAGCGGAAACAATTCGTTACGGACGGACAGACAGACAACAGACTGATCACTATAGGGCGTCTGCCATTTGTCGGGCCCTAATAATGTAGAAAGCAATAAATAAAAATTTTGAAAAATGGCCCTGCAGAAAAACTTGCTGGAAGACATCCTTAGGTGTATAAAAATTGATTTAAATTTGACTGTTCAATTCCATTACTCTGAAAAAAACATATCCAATATTTTTTTAAATCAAAAAGGATCTTACTTTCACCTATCAAACACTTAAAAGTTTGAAGAAAACTGATCCAAGCATATTTTAGCTAGGGTGTGACATGTGTCTTCTTTCATCTTGGATTGTAATATAGCAGAAAACAATTGGTATTAATCTTTAATGAAATATGCTTAGTTTGAGACAGGAATTTTTTTTAATTTTTAAGACTTTTAAATGAAGAACTTGTCTATTTCCTACAATAGGCTTTTCATTTACATGCAGTTTCTTACATGCATTAATAAAGTACTTACCCTGATCTGAACCAAGAAATCTCGCAGATGTTCCTTGAAAGAAGGAATATCTTGGTCAAAACTAAACAGTCCTTCAATAAACACTTTGATTTGTGGCCTGCAAGAAAATATTGAATGATTTTTACACTTTATACTGCTTCTGACTTTTTCTTTTAAATAAAGCAAGACTGAAAACAACATATAATTTGTCAATAAAAATCAAGATGGCCCTGTATTAAAGCTGTTATCCTAATGCTAGCAATTTAAAGGTTTGGTTGGCTTGCTTGCTTTGTTTGTATAAATGTTTGTTCAAGCATTGTAATTAAGATTGACATCTGCAATCAATAGATAGGCGGGACTTCAGCTTGTTTACATTATATATAACACCCAATAACATTTAAGTATCAATAATGTATACAAGCTGAAACCCCGCCTTTTTATTGATTGCAGATGCCAATCTTAATTACAATGCTTGAGCAATCATTTATACAAACAAAGCAAGCCAACCAAACCATTAAACTACAAGCATTAGGATAACAGCTTTAAAACCATTTATCATTTGCCTTTTGATAATAAAATAAAATGCTTCGCTGGGGCGCAGCTTGATACGACCGCAGAGGTCGAACCCTGAACAGTTGGGGCAAGTATGGACACAAAATTCAAGCTTGATACAGCTATGACTTTGGATTGTCATTAAATATTTGACACAGCATAGGTTTCTGACACAGGATGAATGTGGTGTAAGAACTGGAAAAAATTTAATTTACCTATTATGGTGGAATATCCATAAACTAAATTGTTTGTTAATTTCAATATATCAAAGAATATGTAGAATTCAATGTTTGATGTAATGTAATAAAGTTGAAATTTGGACCGTTTTTGTTCAATGTGGACCAATTTGGTAACATGTATAAATAATCAAAAATCTAAATACATGGGAGCCCATTTCAATACATCATAAAGGTATTAAAATAGAAAGTGACATCATAGTCATGGCTAAAAATAAACAAAAATCCTTAATCAGCAACATTTAAAGTAATATCTAAAAATAAAATTCCTTTGTAACCATAAAAGCCCATTTAAATACATCATAAAGATATTAAAATAGAAAATGACATCATAGTCATGGCTAAACATAGCAAAAAACCCTTAATCAGCATCATTTAACAGTAATATCTAAAAATGGAAATTACATCATAAAGGTATTAAAATAGAAAATGACATCATAGTCATGGCTAAAAATAAACAAAATCCTTAATCAGCATCAGCAACATTTTATAGTAATATCTAAAAATAAAATTCCTTTGTAACCATAAAAGCCCATTTAAATACATCATAACAGATATTAAAATAGAAAATGACATCATAGTCATGGCTAAACATAGCAAAAACCTTAATCAGCATCATTTAACAGTAATATCTAAAAATAAAAATTTCTTTGCAACCACAAAAGTAAAATAGAAAATGACATCATAATCATAGCTAAAAATAAACAAAACTTTTTTTTATTGGCAAATTTTAAATGGAGTTTATTATACTAAAACAATAAATTTGCAACCATAAACATGATAAAACCCCATTTAAACACATCATAAAAGTATTAAATAATTCAACTACATCATAAGGCTATAAAAATAGAAAATGACTTCATAGTCAAGGCTAAAGGTAAACAAAAAACCTTCATCGGCAAAATTTTATATTGGCAAATTTCCAATGAAGTTTATTACACTAAAATTGTTGGCAAATTTCCAATGCATTTATTAACAATAAAGTTATTGGCAAATTTCCAATTTACATAATTTAAAAGCAGTGTAGATGAGATATTTAAATGAGTTTGAATTACCAACCTTACACTGCTTTTAAATAATGTTCTTTACTCAATTATTTGTCTATTAAAATGGAAACCCTTGTTTTTTTAACCTTTTTTCCCCTTATTCCTTAAACATTAGAGCCATAACCACCCCCCCCCCCCCCCCCCAAAGCCAATTATTACTTTCCAATGTAACCTAAATTTCCAATATACATAATTTTAAATTTCAATACCTCATGATATATAACCGTATCATTATTATTTTCTTTCATATATAAATCTGAAACAACCATCTTTAAATGGAAAATTTTAAAGAAAAAAAAAGGAAAAAAAAAATCCTACCACCCACACATTTTTTCAACCCCCTTTTGATTCATCATCCCCCACCTCAATCACAACCTTCAATTTGTGGTATGGTACATTGCAATACAATTTCACAGAGATCCATACACTTGAACACAAGTTTTTGTTGCAAACTAAAACAAGAGTGCACACGCTGAAATGTCTCGCCTTCTTTACTAATCATTGATATTATGTTGATAGTCCTAAATATAAAGCTTTATTACAACTGTCACATAAACTTAACATTAACCAAGTAAACTAAACATTGACCAATGAACCATGAAAATGAGGTCAAGGTCAGATGAACCATGCTAGGCAGGCATGTACAGCTAACAATTCTTCCATACAACAAATAGAGTTGACCTATTGCTTATAGTTTAAGAAAAACAGACCAAAACACAAAAACTTAACACTGAGCAATGAACCTTGAAAATGAGGTCAAGGTCAAATAAAACCTGCGTGACTGCCAAATAGATCATAAAATATTTCCATACACCAAATATAGTTGAACTATTGCATATAGTATAAGAAAAACAGACCAAAACACAAAAACTTAACTATAACCACTGAACCATGAAAATGAGGTCAAGGTCAGATGACACCTGCCAGTTGGACATGTACACCTTACAGTCCTTCCATACACCAAATATACTAGACCTATTGCTTATAGTATCTGAGATATGGACTTGACCACCAAAACTTAACCTTGTTCATTGATCCATGAAATGAGGTCGAGGTCAAGTGAAAACTGTCTGACGGGCATGAGGACCTTGCAAGGTACGCACATACCAAATATAGTTGAACTATTGCACATAGTATTAGAAAAAAAGACCAAAACTCAAAAACTTAACTTTGACCACTGAACCATGAAAATAAGGTCAAGGTCAGATGACACCTGCCCGCTAGACATGTACACCTTACAATCATTCCATACACCAAATATAGTAGACCTATGGCATACAGTATAAGAAAAACAGACCAAAACACAAAAACTTAACTATAACCACTGAACCATGAAAATGAGGTCAAGGTCAGATGACACCTGCCAGTTGGACATGTACACCTTACAGTCCTTCCATACACCGAATATACTAGACCTATTGCTTATAGTATCTGAGATATGGACTTGACCACCAAAACTTAACCTTGTTCACTGATCCATGAAATGAGGTCGAGGTCAAGTGAAAACTGTCTGACGGGCATGAGGACCTTGCAAGGTACGCACATACCAAATATAGTTATCTTATTACTTATAAGAGAGAATCTAACATTACAAAAAATCTGAACTTTTTTTTCAAGTAGTCACTGAACCATGAAAATGAGGTCAAGGACATTGGACATGTGACTGACGGAAACTTTGTAACATGAGGCATCCATATACAAAGTATGAAGCATCCAGACCTTCCACCTTCTAAAATATAAAGCTTTTAAGAAGTTAGCTAACGCCGCCGCCGCCGGATCGCTATCCCTATGTCGAGCTTTCTGCGACAAAAGTCACAGGCTCGACAAAAATCCTTATTTTCGACCAATATTTGGCCCCTTATTCATAAATGTTTGAGCAATTAACCCCAAAACTCAATTCCTACTTTCTCTTCGTGATAAAAAATAACTAACTTAAAATGTAAATTTTAAACAAAAACAGTTTTATGCTAACTGAGAAATTTAAGAATTGGAATGGACCAGATGAGCTAAAATTTAATACTATTGCAACAGATTAGCATTTCATGTCTCCCCTAAATAAACACTAAAACGTATATATTGTGGTTAGTTTGGTTTCTTTTTTAGCAATTAATATATACTGTTGCTGACAACACAAAATTAAGCACTGACAAGAATACACAGTAACTTGACAAGAAACAATGCTTGTACAAACTGAAACATATATCTGGAATTGCATTTTCTGTTTAATAAAAGGAAATAAAATATATTCCATCTTTGCAAAAATTATTTACTCACTCATTTAGATGTGGAAAGGCATGCTTGAGTAATTCTAATAGGAACTGCATAATATGCTGACCATTCTGTGAATTGTCACCACTGCCTGCCAAAGCCACAGTAATTTTACCATTTTCAACCAAACAAAACATATATGCCAATATTGTAGCCTGTGTGGTTAATCCTGAAATGCAAAGAAGAATACTTCTATTTATTCTTATGAAGGTAAATTTTCAAATTCTTTTTTTTACTAACATTAAACTGAGGAAATTATCCTGTTGTGTAAATTGGATCTTTAAATGATTGATAAGATTGATTTTTTGGTGTTAAACAGCACTTTAGCATCATTTGCTATTTGGTGGCGGTCAGTTTGTAATGGTAGAGGAAGACCAAGTGTTTCGTGAGAACTACAGACCTTCGGCAGAAAACTGGCACTCCTAGTCAATTAAGATTGAAGTCAAACCCACCTGCCACATAAGAGCTTACTCACAACCTGAGTGTTGACAGGCTAGTGATACAGTAGATGAACTACTTGACCACTCGACAACAGAGGCTCCTTGGATCTTTAAGATATATCAGACTCTGGGACAGGAGAAACAAAAATTAAACGCTTCCAAACAGATATAACTTTAAACTCAGTAAAAATAAACAACTAAAGCATTCTCTACCTGTAAATGTTCTCTGAAAGTTAAGTTGTCAACTCAAATAATATTCAATGATCTACATCAAATGAAAAGCTACATTTTAAGCAAATATAGATTCAAAACATGTTTAAAACAATGTATTTCAACAGTATTTTTGCCCTTATCTTTTATCAAGATTTCATCACAACTCTGACAAATTTTCAATACTAAGTCTGCTCCAGTTAGTTGAGTTACGTGTAAATTTACCTGCTGTGTGAGAACTATCAGTTACAACAGAGAAAACATGTTGTAAAATGTCTTTGAAGTAAGTTTGATAAAAACTCTGAGCTGCCTCTTCCTTTTGTGCCACATTTTGTAATAACTGATAGAGAATGTCAAGCCCTGTATCTGCTACATTCCTCATTGTATGTTTGAATGCCCATATTATAGAGTCTAACACTAATTTGAATTGTGCTGGTGGAATATTTAGGAAGGCTGAAAAAGAAGTTAATTTTACAACTTAAGTTCTTTTAATAATCGTCAGATGCTTAAACAATAAAAGATCAGTAATATCTAGGGAAAACGTCAAAAAAAATACAATTATCAGGATATCAAATCATTTTAAGGGTCAATACATTTATCATAGAAGTCTATTTGATAAAACAAAAAACATGAAAAAGACAATTTGCATATTGGTACGTTTATTTTGAACTATTTTAAAAAGTTTTAAGTAATAAATAACATTTACATGATTTCAGTATTTAGCTCTATATTTATGGCCAAACTGCGACCTTGAGATTGAGAACAGCAATAAAATCAGTTCCTTTGTCTTAGGCTTTGTCAAGTTTGTGTATGTATAATCAGCAATTAAAAAGATGTTTTGTCTTTGATTTCAGCGCTTCTGAAATTACCTTGGAAACAATGTGTATTGACTGCCTGTAACAACAGAAAGAAATTTGTTCTGTGTTCTGGAAACTCTTCAAAATCTTTGTTGATCATTTCTAATGTACATTCAAATACTGCATCAAATATCTGAGGAATATCATTAGTTATGTTACCCTGAAAATAGAAATATCAAGCCATTCAATATTGCATCAAATATCTAATGATTATCATTAGTAATGTTACCCTGAAAATAGAATTATCTTACCTTCTATACATTTCTAGGAATATGATTGGTTAAAAGCAACCGTGTGGAGACAGTGTATATTTCATATGGGGTTAGTAGGTGTCGTTTATTTCAATACACAGTTAGTAGTGGTGTTACGTCCCTTTGGGAAAACAACACGGTGTTGAGGAAAAATCTTAAAGGTTTCAACAGAGAAAGAAATTGATGATGAACGATTGAAATAAATTCATTAAACACATAAAAAAGCTAACAAGTTGTTATTGTTGGCAATTGTTTTTGTATAGACCAATGGAAGTAGGTTCTTTATATAGAAGACTTGATCACTTTGGTAGGCCACTAGTCTAAATACCACATGTTAAGATAGTCAGTAAGATAAATTCGTTACACAGTGTGCTAGTGACCTAATACGATATTTATGGGGTCAGTAAATTCCAAATGGGGATTCATGCTTCGCTCGCACCCAATATGGAATTTACTGACTCATATATATAGTTTTAGGTCACTAGCACACTATGTAACTAATAATATCAAGCCATTCAATATTGCATCAAATATCTGAAGAATATCATTAGTTACGTTACCCTGAAAATACAAATATCAAGCCATTCAATATTACATCAAATATCTGAGGCATATCATTAGTTATGTTACCATGGAAATACAAATATCAAGTCATTCAATACGGCATCAAATATCTGAGACATATCATTAGTTATATTACCCTAAAAATACAAATATATGTCATTCAATTATTAACACATAAAATGGGAAATTTTAAAAACCCAGTTCATGTATTAATTGTAAAACAACTTTGACCCTTCCTCATATTTACTGTCGGCAGTACTACAAACTTGACCATTTTTGTGTGATGTAATATTTTCCATACTTTATACTCATTTCTAATAAAATGCTTCGCTGGGGCGCAGCTTGATACGACCGCAGAGGTCGAACCCTGAACAGTTGGGGCAAGTATGGACACAAAATTCAAGCTTGATACAGCTATGACTTTGGATTGTCATTAAATATTTGACACAGCATAGGTTTCTGACACAGGATGAATGTGGTGTAAGAACTGGAAAAAATTTAATTTACCTATTATGGTGGAATATCCATAAACTAAATTGTTTGTTAATTTCAATATATCAAAGAATATGTAGAATTCAATGTTTGATGTAATGTAATAAAGTTGAAATTTGGACCGTTTTTGTTCAATGTGGACCAATTTGGTAACATGTATAAATAATCAAAAATCTAAATACATGGGAGCCCATTTAAATACATCATAAAGGTATTAAAATAGAAAGTGACATCATAGTCATGGCTAAAAATAAACAAAAATCCTTAATCAGCAACATTTAAAGTAATATCTAAAAATAAAATTCCTTTGTAACCATAAAAGCCCATTTAAATACATCATAAAGATATTAAAATAGAAAATGACATCATAGTCATGGCTAAACATAGCAAAAAACCCTTAATCAGCATCATTTAACAGTAATATCTAATAAACTGCTTCGCTGAGCGCAGCTGGATACGCCCGCAGAGGTCCAACCCTGAACAGTTTGGGCAAAAATGGACACAATATTCAAGCTTGATACAGGTCTGAATTTGGATTGTAATTAAATATTTGACATATTATAGGTTTCTGAATAAATGTAGTCAAAGAACTTGAAATTGGTTATATGAATTGAATTTATATTCAATTAAAGATTTCTTGCTGTTGTGCAATACACTATGCTGTTGCGCAATACTTAGTAAATCTGTTGTCAGACTATAAACAAATAAAATTTATAAAATTCTAAAGGGAGCTTACATCAATAGATATAAACAATTCACCAAAGTTTCATAAGAATTGCTGAAAGCATTTTTGAGTTATGGTCTGAAAACTGGAAAATCCCACCTTTTTTAACGAATAAAACCCCATAACTCGGAAATGTAAAAACTAAAATTTATAAAATTCTAAAGGGAGCTTACATCAATAGATATCAACAATTCATCAAAGTTTCATGAGAACTGCTGAAAGCATTTGAGTTATTATCCGAAAACTGGAAAATCCCCCTTTTTTTTATGAATAAAACCCTGTAACTTGGAAACGTAAAATCTTAAATTTATAAAAATCAAAAGGGAGCTCATGTCAATAGATATAAACAATTAACCAAAATTTCTTGCAAGTTGGTGAAAGGATTCTTGAGTTATTGTCCGAAAACTGGAAAATCCCCCTTTTTTTAATGAATAAAACCCCATAACTCGGAAACGTAAAATCTAAAATTTATAAAATTCTAAAGGCAGATTACATCAATAGATATCAACAATTCATCAAAGTTTCATGAGAACTGCTGAAAGCATTTTTGAGTTATTGTCCGAAAACTGGAAAATCCCCCTTTTTTTTATGAATAAAACCCTGTAACTTGGAAACGTAAAATCTAAAATTTATAAAAATCAAAAGGGAGCACATGTCAATAGATATAAACAATTAACCAAAATTTCTTGCAAGTTGGTGAAAGCATTCTTGAGTTATTGTCCGAAAACTGGAAAATCCCCCTTTTTTTAATGAATAAAACCCCATAACTTGGAAACGCAAAATCTAAAATTTATAAAAAACGAAAGGGAGCTCTCATCAATAGATATAAACAATTCACCAAAGTTTTATGCAAATTGGTTAAAGAGTTTTTGAGTTAATGTCCGACATGTTGACGACGGACGGACAGACGGACGGACGGACAGACGGACAACGGTATACCATAATACGTCCCGTAAACGGGCGTATAAAAATGGAAATTACATCATAAAGGTATTAAAATAGAAAATGACATCATAGTCATGGCTAAAAATAAACAAAATCCTTAATCAGCATCAGCAACATTTTATAGTAATATCTAAAAATAAAATTCCTTTGTAACCATAAAAGCCCATTTAAATACATCATAACAGATATTAAGATAGAAAATGACATCATAGTCATGGCTAAACATAGCAAAAACCTTAATCAGCATCATTTAACAGTAATATCTAAAAATAAAAATTTCTTTGCAACCATAAAAGTAAAATAGAAAATGACATCATAATCATAGCTAAAAATAAACAAAAATTTTTTATTGGCAAATTTTAAATGGAGTTTATTATACTAAAACAATAAATTTGCAACCATAAACATGATAAAACTCCATTTAAACACATCATAAAAGTATTAAATAATTCAACTACATCATAAGGCTATAAAAATAGAAAATGACTTCATAGTCAAGGCTAAAGGTAAACAAAAAACCTTCATCACCAAAATTTTATATTGGCAAATTTCCAATGAAGTTTATTACACTAAAATTGTTGGCAAATTTCCAATGCATTTATTAGCAATAAAGTTATTGGCAAATTTCCAATTTACATAATTTAAAAGCAGTATAGATGAGATATTTAAATGAGTTTGAATTACCAACCTTACACTGCTTTTAAATAATGTTCTTTACTCAATTATTTGTCTATTAAAATGGAAACCCTTGTTTTTTAACCTTTTTTCCCCTTATTCCTTAAACTTTAGAGCCATAACCACCCCCCCCCCCCCAAAGCCAATTATTACTTTCCAATGTAACCTAAATTTCCAATATACATAATTTTAAATTTCAATTCCTCATGATATATAACCGTATCATTATTATTTTCTTTCATATATAAATCTGAAACAACCATCTTTAAATGGAAAATTTTAAAGAAAAAAAAAGGAAAAAAAAAAATCCTACCCCCCACACATTTTTTCAACCCCCTTTTGATTCATCATCCCCCACCTCAATCACAACCTTCAATTTGTGGTATGGTACATTGCAATACAATTTCACAGAGATCCATACACTTGAACACAAGTTTTTGTTGCAAACTAAAAAAATCCTTATTTTCGACCAATATTTGGCCCCTTATTCATAAATGTTTAAGCAATTAACCCCAAAACTCAATTCCTACTTTCTCTTCGTGATAAAAAATAACTAACTTAAAATGTAAATTTTAAACAAAAAAAAAAGGAAAAAAAAAAATTACCCCTTTTTTGACCCCCGCCCCCCTTATGATTCATCACCCCCACCCCCCTTTCCCCCCAAACCAAGCTCAATAACAGCCTTGCCTTTGTGGTATGGTACCTTGTAATACAATTTTAGAGAGATCCATACACTTGAACACAAGTTATTGTCTAGAAACTAAAAAATGCTTATTTTAAACCCCTTTTTAGGCCCCTTATTACTAAATGTTTTGGGCAATTACCACAACACTCAATTCCAGCTTTCCCTTTGTGAAATGGAACCTTGTAGTAAAATTTCAGAAAGATCCATACACTTACACACAAGTTATTGTCATGAAACTAGAAAAATGCTTGTTTTTTGTCCCCTTTTGGCCCCTTATTCCTAAAATTTTGAGGCAATTAACCCCAAAATCAATCCCAGCATTGACCCTTTGTGATATGGAATCTTGTGGTACAATGTCAAAGAGATCCATATGCTAACACACAAGTTATGTCTGGAAGTTACAAAAATGCTTATTTTCGGCCCCTTTTTGGCCCCTAATTCCTTAACTGTTGGTACCATAACCCCCAAAATCAATCCCCACCTTCCTATTGTGGTATTGAACCTTATGGTAAAATTTCATAGAGATCCATTTACTTAAACTAAAGTTAGAGTGCGAAAACCATTGTGTATTCGGACGACGGCGCCGGACGACGACGACGTCGACGCCAACGTCATACCAATATACGACCTCAAAATTTTTTTGCAGTCGTATAAAAATGACTATAAAATATTTTTTTCCAGATCAAGGACGATATGTTGAAAGGAGAACTTGTTGGAAAATATTTCTACTTTTTTCAAACAGTACACATATAATTTTTTATTCTAAGATTTTTTTGTAGCAATTGAGTCCTGTGTATGAGAACTTCAGGCCATTTACCTGCTGAAATTTTGTCAAATATCAACACTATATTATTGACAACTGAGACCATTGTTTGGAAAACTTCAGGGTTTTTACCTACTGATTGATTAATAAAGTACTACTCACCTCTAATCTGTTAACAATTGAGGCCATTGTACTGAGGACTTCTGGCTCTCTAGCTGCTGGAACATTTCTCTGGTAATCTAACAATACAGCATCTAGTAATGGTGGGATGAAATTAACTGCAACCTGTAAATACAACAATACACTGCAGATTCTAGACTAAAACTAGATAAAGGTAGTCTAGCTTAAAAACTTGACACACAAAGCAGTTTAATCAAAACAGATAAAATTTGTAATAAGTTCAACTTCCCCTCATGTTGTAAACTAAAAGCACTTAAATCAAAATCCTGACAAAATGGCCTCCCCTTTATTTTGCATGGGGATAAAAATAGAAGATCAATTGTTTTTCCTCGAAATTTAGATTTTAGTGAATGCCCACAATGCTGTTTAAAAGAATCTCCAATTCTGGCTAAATAAGAGCTAATTCAGAAGTTTGTTTTGACAAATTTTTTTACATCAAGCAAATACAATCTAAATTGGTTTTCGGACAATGGTAAAACCGTTGCTTTATTAACATTTCTTGCATAATCACAGTCAACTTCATGCAACAATAACTAAAAATTCAGCATAAGGATCATTTTTCATGTAAGATACAGATGTCATAATTTACACACAACATAAAAATTATTTCAAAGCCCTCAGCTCTCATAATCACATGATCACTGACCAACAGTGATGTATAACTACAACAAATCTAAAACAGCAAGCTGTTTTTTCTAGAAACAATAAATAAAAAAAAAAAGTGGAAAATTGAAGAAAGTAAATTAAGTAAATTTTTTGGTGATTTGTTGCAATTATAACATACTGATACAGTCTCTGATTTGAATTTCTACATCATTGGGCTTGTCAAGTTTTTTCCTCTCACCCTAGTTTTCTATTGGACAGAAAATTCATTTCATGTTCTAAAACAACATTTTTTCATGATTACAAATAATATTGAACAACTGTCTGAAAAGTGTCATTTTGAAAAAAAAAAAAAAATCAATTTGTTGTTAATGTAAAAATTAATAGGACATCTATATTATATATCAGAATATGAAGTTTCATCCAACCTTGTGCTAAATATACCATAAAGAAAACAAGCATTCTGTGAGTATTGCATGGCTATACATAGTCCCCTACCGGTTACAAATTAATTGTAATGGAACGAAATTCTAACTTGATCTATAACTTGTCATGGTGTAAACTACATAAAAATATCAAGTCAAAATCTTCAAGCATGACAAAAAAAACTGTTGAAAACTGATTATTTAAGTGAATTTTCTATGTCCAAAGACCATAACTCTGCACAAAATTATCAGACTGGAACAAAATTCCAACTTGATCCGTAACTTGTCATGATGAAACTATATACTAATTATCAAATCAATATCTTCAAGAATGACAAACAAACCTACCACTAAATTCTTCAAACAATTTACCAAAGAAATCCAAAATGTCATTTTGTCTTTTAAAAGTCTTTTAAAAAAATGAGTTATTTCCCTTTGAACAGAAATCTACTAATTAATAAGTATTTCATAAAAAATTTAATTCTAGGGAAAGGGCTTTAACTGAACAAAGAGAAAAGCTAAAATCGTGAAAATTGAACTTGACCTGTAACTTGTCATGATAAATCAATAAACCAAATATCAAATCAATATCTTCAAGCACGAAGAAAAAAAGTCTGGAAAACTGATTTGCTGGACTGACAGATGGACAGACAGACAGACGGAGTGCAAACCTAAAGTCCCTTTCGACTTCGTAGGTAGGGGACTGAAAAAACAATGCATGTTTAGGGTTTCTTTCCTAAATATTCTAGTTCTAGTTGATACGATATGCCAGGGCTTGTATTTCCAATCATGATTTCCTTGATAGAGGGTTGCTGCTCACAAGGAAGCTATTAAACCAAGAGTTCCAAGTGGTGAAGATAATATCGTCTCACCGTAAATTTTACAGACGCCATCAAATGTTGGTTGACCGTTATGGAATATCCGTTTCAGAGATTACAATGGATATGTTCCAATGGTCATAACTACAATCCCGTCCCCTTTACCCTGAATTTGACCTACCGAAATAGACTTATCACCAGATTTGTACTACCATGAGCAACACAATGGGTGCCACATGTGGAGCAGGATCTGCTTACCCTTCCGGAGCAACTGAGAACACCCCCAGTTTTGGGTGGGGTTTGTGTTGCTCAGTCTTTGGTTTTCTATGTTGTGTTTTGTGTACTGTTGTTTGTCTGTTTGTCCTTTTTCTTTTTTAGCCATGGTGTTGCCAATTATTTTCGACTAGTGAGTTTGAATGTCATTTTGGTATCCTTCACCTCTCTTTTATAGAGTGGGTAGGTAGGTGTTGTTTTTTTAAGACACATATACCCAAGACATTTAGGCTCATAGTTCTGAATAACAGTGTTATGTATTTTCTTTCCTCCTCTTATTTCCCCTATGCACTATAAAAACAAATCACACAATCAAAGCAGTAATTTTAAGGTCAAGGAACAGTAAATGGGCTTTGTCACAGATTTGGGTAAAATTTTGCATACAACTTTGGCTCGTTGAACTTTAACTGAAAAACGAAAAAAAATAATGCATTTATTTCTTTTATTTTCTGAAATATTACCAATTGAATTCTCTCAAAATTGATGAACATTTGTATAGAAAGCGTTTAAATTCGGCGAAAATCGTTCTTTAATTTGTCTAAAATCATCAAATCTCCAATTTCTAGTACATAGAGCTTTCAAGTAAATGACTTGATTGAATCATGTATGCATTATTTATTAAAAATTTTGCAAAGAGGATCTGTCATTTTATCGCTAACAAACAATACACTGTATGAAATATTGAACAAACTTTGATTTATTTCTCATAAACCATACTTTGAAATGAATTGAAAATTAAGCACAAGGATTATTTTCATGTAAGATACAGTTGTCATATTTCATGCACATTCTTTAAAAAGTAATGTCAAAGCCCTCAGCTCTCATAATCACGTGATCACTGACCAACAGTGATGTCTAACTACAACAAATCTAAAACAGCAAGCTGTTTTGTTAGAAACTAACTAGAAACAATTAATAAAGTGGAAAATTGAAGAAAGTAATTTTGGTGATTTGTTGTAACTATAACATACTGATACAGTCTCTGATTGAAATTTCTACATCATTGGGCTTACAAAGTTTTTTCCTCTCTTCCCTAGTTTTCTATTGGACAGAACATTTATTTCAAATTCTATAATAACAAATTTTCTTGATTACAAATACTATTGAACAACTGTCATTCTGAAAATATATATTTATTATCAATAATAAATCTATGTTATATATTTTTAATTACATGGGACATAAAAACAGATCATTAAATCTTAATGAATACCAATAATATATTTAAAAGGGATCTCCAGTTCTGGTTTAATACAATAAGAGCTTATTCAGGAAATTTATTTTGCCACATTTTGTAAGCATCAAGCAAAATAAATCTTGAGCTATTTTCCAAATGCTTGTAGTTTAAAGGTTTGGTTGGCTTGCTTGCTTTGTTTGTATAAATGTTTGCTCAAGCATTGTAATTAAGATTGACATCTGCAATCAATAGATAGGCAGGGCTTCAGCTTGTATACATTATACTCTGCATTATACTTAACGTCCAATAACATTTAAGTATAATGTATACAAGCTGAAGACCCAACTATCTATTGATTTCAGATGTCAATCTCAATTACAATGCTTGAGCAAACATTTATACAAGTAAAGTAAGCAAGCCAACCAAACCTTTAAACTACAAGCATTAGGAAAATAGCTCTAATTGGTTTGAGGACAATTGTCTCACTGTTGCTTCATTAACATTTTCACGCATAATCACTAAGTCGACTTTAAAGGCAACCATAACTTAAATTAAGCATAATGATCATTTTCACAGTTGTCATATTTTAAAAAATAATTTCAAAGCCCTCAGCTCTCATAATCACATGATCACTGACCAACAGTAATGTAAAACTTCAACAAATCTAGAACAGCAAGTAATTTTGTTAGAAACTAAAAATAATAAATAAATTTAATGGACATTTTTTTTTGGTAGATTTGTAGCAATTTTAACATACTGATACAGTCTCTGGTTTGAATTTCTACATCATTGGGCTTACAAAGTTTTTCCTCTCTTCCCTAGATTTTTATTGGACAGAATAATTTATTTCAGGTTCTATAACAAATATCAAAACTTTTATGTTCAATACATGTAATATTGAACAATAATTATGCTAAAAATATATATATTAGAATGAGAAGCTGCATGTAACATTGTGCTAAATATACCCCAAACAAAAAATAATGTATCTTTTGGTGCCTTCCTAGATGTTATCAGGTAGGTTGATAGAATCCTACTCACTATTAAATATATTGCCTGACAGGAAAGTTGTCATGAAACAATTTGTCAATGAATAAATTAAGGATGATTAATGCAGTTTGATCCTTTAAAGTCACATCAAATAGGAGTGGTGTCATTAAATATAAGTTCCTTCATAGTAGAAGTTCCAAATGGAAAAAATACTATGTAATATTATTTCCTCTGGAACAAATATTACAGTATTTGTTCCAACCGGAATAAACTATAAACAATATTTGTGCCAACAGGAACAGATATTATGGCATTGATTATAACAAAGTTTCCTGGGGAACTTCTGTTAGACTTAACAATTATATGTTGACAAAGGCTCCACCACATACATGACATAAAAAGCAATCATTAAATAGTAGTCAGTAAACCACTAAACTAACCAGGAGGGTTAAATAAATGTGTCGTTGTATCTACCATTTTTATCATTTACCCCAGAAACTCAAAACACTCTTTTTTCAACTTTTAAATACGTGTATAGCCTACCATTTGAGGATCATTTGATCTGCTAACCCATCCGGAGATCAATTTTAATGCTTCTTTCTTTACTGTTCTCATACTTCTAATGAGAGGTTGTTTGGTTACACTTTCCCCATTGCTGGCTATTGCACTACTAATGTTCTCACTCATTACTTTGTAAACATTCAGCATATCTAAATAGACTCTTCCAAGCTGAAATATACATTTTTTTCATAAACAGAAGTGGAAATACACAAAATTATTCTATAAATGTATTTTAGCAAATTCTTATACCAGATGGCTGATCAATACAATACTGTGCTATGTGAAAGATATTTCTTGTTTGAAAACATTTCACACAAAAAAGAAGATATCTATTTTCATAATTTAGTCAAAGCCCTCAGCTCTCATAATCACTTGATCACTAACTAACAGTGATGTATAACCACAACAAATCTGGAACGCCAGAAAAAAGTCAAAAATTCTGACAAGAAACACAGTACAGAAAATTTATGAATGAATAATAATAGGAATAGAAAATCTTGTATTTTTAGAGAGATTTGTTGTAATTTTAACATACTGATACAGTCTCTGTTTTTAAAGTTCTACATCATTGGGCTATTGAAACACCTCCAATCTGATTTAGATATTAAGGTTCCAACTCCTACAGGCCAAGCTGACCTAATGTGGATTTGACTATTCTTTTTATCTCCCTCTTGGTCATATAGCTCCTCAAGTACTCATACATCTCCCCTTTGGTCATATAGCTCCTCAAGTACTCATACATCTCCCTTTTGGTCATATAGCTCCTCAAGTACTCATACATCTCCCCTTTGGTCATATAGCTCCTCAAGTACTCATACATCTCCCTTTTGGTCATATAGCTCCTCAAGTACTCATACATCTCCCTTTTGGTCAAATAGCTCCTCAAGTACTCATACATCTCCCCTTTGGTCATATAGCTCCTCAAGTACTCATACATCTCCCTTTTGGTCATATAGCTCCTCAAGTATTCATACATCTCCCCTTTGGTCATATAGCTCCTCAAGTACTCATACATTCTTGGCTTTCAAAATTTGGGGTTTGAGCATTCCTAATTAATTTAGAAAAGTTAAATCACAACTCATTTTTTGACAGATAAACTAAAATCACCTACTTGTGCAACATATGGATGTCCTAAAGCTTTACAAGCTCGGACATTTGTCTTTAAGATATTTCCTAGCTGTTTTACTGCATCAGGATCTTTCAGTACTTCCACATTGTGTGTTGCTTGGTTAATGATACCATCCCACACTTGGTTAGGTAACAACATATAACGTTCTATCAAGTGTTCTTGAGCTACTTGATCAGTCTGTGCACTTATCATCATACCTACTGCCTCATAGAATGTATGCACCTAAAATTGAAAAAAAAATCTCACCTACTTGTTTATCTAAAAAGAGCTGCAATGCAACACACTCGTTAATTTGCAGTCTTTATTTCTATGAAATTTGAGCTAGATTTTTGTTCCCATTAGTTTTTATATTGTGTTTAATATTTATGCATGCAAATAGTCTTTCAGATAAAAGACTTTTAACTTTAATAGTGTTTCACATCTACTAACATATAATGTCTGCACTTTAAAAACTTTGCCAAATAAAACAAGATTGCACACAAGATATTGAATTTATTTTGAAGTTTGATGCGCATTTGGAAAATTTATTTCTCATTAGTAGTACTCAAACAAATATAAGAAATTTGAAAATACTAAAATTCCATTAAGGGTCTACAGAATGCAAAAAAAGAAAGAGAAGTGAGCGGATTAAACTAATGTAACATTTTCAAAAGCATTGCACAATTTCTAATATATAAGTGATTTTCCTTACAACCCAATGTCCAAACAATTAATGACAATGAATTAAATCAAATAAAACAAGCTTTGATAAACATTAAAAAGGACTTTAGTTAAATTTTCTTAGTGGTATACAATAGGAGAAAATCTACAAATCATCAGTAATATCATAAAATGAATTAAGAGCTGCGCCATGAGCACATAATACGCATGTCGCATTTTCAAAGAATAAAGTTTCATAACTCCTCAATATCATATCAGAAATTTATAAAAAACTAAAGGGAGGTTATTTTAATAGATATAAAACAGTCACCAAAGGTTCATGAAAACTGCTCAAAGCACTTTTGAGTTATTGTCCAAAAACTGCAAAATCCCCCCTTTTTTATGAATAAAATCCCATAACTCGGAAACGAAAAAGCTAAAATTTATAAAAATTGAAAGGGAGCTTACGTCAATAGATATAAACAATTCACCAAAGTTTCACGCAAATTGCTCAAAGTATTTTTAAGTGATAATTGAAAACTGGAAAATCACCTTTTTTTAATGAATAAAACCCCATAACTCGGAAATGTAAAATCTTAAATTTATAAAAATTAAAAGGGAGCTCACAACAATAGATATAAACAATTCACCAAAATTTCATGCAAATTGGTAAAAGCGTTTTTGAGTTATTGTCCGACATGTTGACGACGGACGGACAGACGGATGGACGGACAGACAACGGTATACCATAATACGTCTCGTAAACGGGTGTATAAAAATATGACCATCTTAGTTTTTAACCAAAAATATGGATACAAGTTATCTAGAAAATATTTTAATATGGCCTTATGAGAGGCAATTAATACTGAATAAGAGCTCAACAATGACGTGTGTGTCAACTTGTTAAGGCCAACATGTTTTTTTGTTTAACAAAGTTTTTCATTTGGAAATTGTCCTCGTCAAAATTAACAAGCAGAAGTTAAACCAGTATTATTTTTATCTTAACCAAACAACTTACTTGTTGTGGCTGAAGATCGCAAATAATTGTATTAATTCCATTTAATATTTCCTCAATGAATGGCATCACTTCTCCAACCTGGACCTGTACAAAATGTCGTCTACATTTTTGTGCTATTTTGATGAATGTATCACAAGCCATATCCTGCACACCATCATGCGTCTCTGAAGTAAATGTCAATACAACTTCAATTACTCATGCCAAAACAGTCAACATGTACAAATTCAAGTAACAGCTTTGCCATGACCAAACAATGCAGTCATCTCATCAGGACCACAAGCCGGCCTCACACCATCACATTTCCATGGTGTTGCTGATTGGTAGTATAAAAACACAAAACTTTAAATAAGATATTCTAAGAATTATTAATCGCAAGTTTGGTAGGTACAGTGGTTTCAGAGAAGTTGAAAAATTTAAGATGACAGTTGCTGGATGATGACAACAGTACACATGGATAATAGGGCTAGGCAAGATTGATAGAGAAAGTGTGTTACAGCAATTCACCTTAATATTATACAAAATAACTTACCATGCATGAATTCAAACAATTTGTTAACTACTGTTTTCAGGAATTTCCAATGAGCACGAAGGAATCTTGGATACTGTCCCACCACATACATAATATTACTAGCTATTATTGCCTTATTGTCTTTTCCTCTTTTTTGTTCACACAACCCTAACAAGTCCTAAAATACATAATATACATTAGTCAACATTTTGAAACATGCAATTTGATTAAACTCAAAACACTGAAAAATCATGACCATGAAAAAGAACATCAATTTCTAAATTATCTTTTTTTCTACCTAATTATAAAATCAAACCAACTTGACATAATTGTTTTCAAAATAATAAAATATATAATCAGTGAAGAAATTTTACTTTAAAACAATAGAATATTGAAAACATAAACATTTAAATTTTCGCAACACCAACCAATATAATACAAATTGTACTCATTAAATTCATGCTTTCTTTATATAAAAAAAGTCAATTTCGTCAATTCAGAAAACCTTCATGCATAAATATTTCATACATATATAACAAATTTAATGCAAGGCTAGTTTTTAATTTGTTGGTTTACAGATCCCGCCAACCAGACTTTCTACTTTTCAGAAGAAAAAAAAATCAAAGTTTAATGCTTTTTATTCCTTGAACATAAGAAACCTTTCTAAATAGGTCATTCTGCAATTTTGTCATCATTCACCAGGATATTTTAGATTAGCTGACATAGACGAAATATGACTTAAAAGTTGAGTTAACAGAAATCGTCCAAAAATGTTGTCCTTTCCTTATCAAAAGAGTTGTTACCAGCTGTCAAAATGCACAAAGCCAATATCACTGAGTATATCAACTTTCCCAATGGACTGGTATACTCCAAAATGTTACTGTAATTTTAAGGAATAATAATCATAAGCAGAACAAACTTATTGAAGTAAAATTCAATTACACAGTTAAGCTGTACACATTTGTCTTATCAGATTCCCTCCAAACCTGATGACCTGAACATTTCAAATTGAATTCTATAAACCACAAATCAAAAAACCTAGGCCTAATTGTACCATATGTATAGTCATCAGGGAAGGTACTATGAAAATGTTCTAAAGGAGAACCAACCCAAATATCAATCTCAAAATGTCTTTCCCAGATACAATGTTTGTTTTATATTGTTATTTCTAATTTAATGAACATGATGACATGTAATATATTTACTAATTAGCAGAAACCATTCCATCACAGTCAGTTAAAAAGCCAGTCACCCTGCAAGAAACAGTAGCAGTGTCACTATTTCACCTCTTGTAAACTCTTTCTCATTAATTAATTAGTCTAAATCTAAAATTAAAAATTTAATTTTATATCTTGACTTTTGTTTAGTTTACAAGTGATGATCTATAGTTTTAGAAAAAATAAATACATGCAATATAATTTTTTTTCTTGGTGCAATCAGTTCTCCAAACCTCTACTTAGTATCTAAATTATTATTTTGAACTGTATATTATTTTTATTTTTGAAATCTTTCACAAAAAATATTTAAGTTAGTCAAGATAGTTTCTGTCAGACAGGTACTCATTGATCTGCTAAAAAGTTGTCTCATGACTACAATAATATTGAATTCTAGTGAACTGATAACACCAATTATAGTCAACAGAAATAAGGCCAAACAAAATAATTCCATGATTCTCATTTCATTCTTTTTTTAAATTTTGCCATGCAGATTTATTTTATTTTTTCTGGTATTGGCAAGAACTATTTCCATATTAAAATGTATGTTTTTCTTACATATATCAATAATTACAAGAGAAAAAAAAATCTGCAGATAATAAAAGGAAGGAAGGATATGAGAATAAGGAATCTAATTATCTGGCCTAAGCAGTACCATGAACACTGTAAACAAAACATTTTTTTCTGTATCACCTATTTCCATCCCCCCCTTTTCAACCAATATTTAGAGATATAATATACAGTTTAGAATTTAGTGTTTTCATGAAAAGATATCCAACACTAGATTCCATTCTGTTAACATAAATTAAGATCAAATCTGTGTCTTGCAAACAATATTCATGGCGATATAAAAAAACTGACAAACAATTATTTATATTCTTACCTTTATAACTGTAACTAAGAATCTTTTTTCGTCATCTTCGTGCATAGCCCCACTTATTGAGCCTATTGCCCAACATAACTAGAAGAGAAATTTTTCAAAACTTAATTGGATGTCAATTTTCACTAAATTTGTATTTTCATGAACTAAAAAATATCAGTGTCTAATTGTGACTATTATAACTGATTAACTGAACAAAACTTGAATGGCATGAAATCCATAAAATCATTTCATTTGAACGTTTTATTTCATGTCCATTATTCTGATTAAACAAGGTGAACAATCAGATGATATCAAATCCAAAATTTATTCAGAAAGACTACATTTGATTGATTGATTTCTATTTAATGGCGGTCAGTGTTTATTGGTGGAGGAAGCCGGAGAGCCTGGAGAGAACCACGACCTTCGGTAGGAAAATTGACATTCCTAGTCAATTAAGATTAGTCGAGTGCACCTGCCCTGTGCGGGATTCAAACTCACAACCTCAGTGTTGACTGGCTAGTGATACAGTGGTTGGACTACTTAGACCACTCGGCCACCGAGGCCCCGTCACTCAAATAAAAACTAAAGGCTATTATGTTACTACCAAAATTCAAAATTATATAATATCAAATCAACTTGGTGTTTTTGAGGAAAATGTTGTTTTATTTTTCAATTACATTGTAGTAAATGTTGTTTTCTTTTCGATTACATAGAAGTAACTGAACATTTGTTGATTCAAGCAATTCAACCTAGTAACGACTTGTCCATTGCGGATTCGACCGTAAATCTTAGCCAATGAAAACATAACTGTTACATAAAAAATGCATTAGAATTTTACATCTGACTTCTAAATTTGTTGAGATAATATTCTAGCTACTAACTGTGTTCAAGTTTTGCCATGACCATTCTGTACCATTGACCTGATTATGTAATTTTTCTGTCATTATTGATTCTGTGTCTGCGTAGTCAAGATGAGTCAAATATACTGTAAAACAAAACATACATTTATTCTCTTTAAAACCAAAGTGCTTTGATTTTTTTTTATTAAATTCATAAATGAACCAAATCATTTCAAGTTAAAACAACTTAATTAAAATTTTGTTTTTTTACCTGTGTATATGTCTCTATTTCCTCTCGTCCCAAGTTACCATAAAACTACAACAATAGAAATTTATATGATCTGCACAAAACTTGAATACTGATTAAACATATTTAAGAACAAGCATACCTAATGTTTCCCTCATATTTTTATATAAGTTAATAGAGTCTGTGTCTTTTAAAAATTCTCTGACAACCTCTCCTTGGTCTGTTTCCACAACCAATACTTCTTCAGGTTTTGCCATCCTAGATATCATAACTCTCCTTACCTGTATAAAATAATATAGTTTTATAAAATAAAGCAAAACAAAATTAACCAATAGAAACACTGAGAATGAATCTTTTTGCAACATGTAAGAGATGAAGTATACTTTTAATACAAGCTTTCTAAAAAAAAAAATTTTTAAATCACAAGAAACCAATCTTGCTTTTGTATAATCAAATTAGACAGAATGAATAAAAAAATCTGATCTGATAATATGTGCCATGTTAAGAATATTTATTACTATAGATGAAATTTTGTGACAAATAATTGCTGATTGTTAAGAAAATGGGAAATAACAAAAACCATGAAGCATTTCTAATCTAAAAGATAATTGCATGATACAGTAATAGTTGTATGTTAATTATCTTGAATGACATCTGTTGTGTGTACTTTGCTTCTTTAAACTGTTTGTTCCACTTATCAACAAGAAATGTCCAGTATGAACCAGCTAAAACTCAATACAAACCCTGGATAGTACTTGATTATACAACTGCCTTCTAGCTGGCATTTCATTATGATGAGACTTTCCAATTAGCAATGGGGATGTAGATGTTGTGAATGGACTTTCCCTATATAAATCTGAAGCTAACGTATTCCAATACTCTAAAACTATTTTGAAGATTTCGACATCCTTTACTTCAGAAATGAGGATGAGATAATGTAATGCCTACAACACAAACAAAACGTTCATATATTTTTATTGTTTAAATCTAATTCCAATTATTTTTAAAAATTTGTTCCTTTCATTTATTTCAAGTCACTGTTCAATAGGTTCCTTGAACACAGAATGAAATGAGCCTATTCTAAATTGCACAACATTGCCAATGCTATACAATTATTGACGTTTGATGAGGTTGATACAAAGATTTATCAACCACAGATATATAATATTATATAATATTAACCAAAGCCAAAGGCCAAGGGCGAATGTCATATCTTTGGGGTTGATAAATTATTGTATCAACTTACATCAAAGGTCAACAATTGTTTTATCATATGACTTTTTTTTTAACCTTCTCCAATGTTCTGTTTTTGCTCAAGATATTTAGCTGCTCCTTGTTTTTATACTAAATATATCATCTACTTTTGCAGTTGCTTACTTTTATATTTGCTGAAATATTTAATAAAATTTATTAAAAAAAATTAACACTGAAAAAGAGAAGAAAAACAAGAATTTGCATGAAGTCATAAACCTATGTCATTGACGTGCATACGGATAACTATTTTTAGGTACACATTAGCTGTTCCAAATCTTATATTAACCTCTCATGATTTTTCCAGCTGTGAATATATTGTTTTATAATTGAAGATTCCTATACTTTTAGCTAATCAGAAAAGATAAATTTTATAGTCATTTAAATATACTTATTACTGCACAAAATATCTTATTTAAGTGATTCAGGTATATAAGCTTATTTTCATGTATGTTTTAGGACAACTTCATACATTGAAAACAAGACAATCCAACCCAAATAAATAAATGAAACTGTAAATAAGTATTGATATTACCCCCCAAATATACAAGAAGCAATGATTACTCAGCAATTGTACAACTATAACCTTTGTCAATGAGTCTATTTACCAAAAGAGAAAAAATTAAGGACAATCCTTATATCTGTTAATCATTACTGCTTTGTATAACAATAAGGGATAATCAGAAAACTCACCTCTAATAATTCTTCATGTAATTCTGTTTTTCTCTCTATTAACATGCCATGTTCTTTTAAAAAAGTACACAAGAAAAGACTAAGATTTTGTATAAACTTCTGTTCATCATCTGTTCCCTTTTGGTAGGCATCTTTCAAATTTGTTTGTAAAGGCAAAACCTGCAAAAGATATATTTGTATTTACTCATCCTTGAACATGTTGGAAATATAACAAAGTCACACCATTCTTATCTTTATCATAGAACCACACATAGGGAAACTTCTTTTATTTATGGGTGCATATTTTTGGGATTTTTATCACATTTATTGCTTCATTGGCCCACAGGCTTGTTTCTTGTTTTGAAACCCCCCAAAAAACTATTAATAGAATTCTACCATTTTTCTCCCAGTATTTATTAAGTTTTCAGAAAATTCAAAAAATTTGTAACATATAAATGGCTATTTTTCAATAATGAATTCAGACAACCTTGATCTTGATGTCATAAAAGATTATATCCCTTCAGATTGCTTAACATCATTAAATATTTGAAGAAGATTAAATGCAAAACTGAAACTGCACTGTGACATTGATCTTTTGTCTTTTTAATTAATGTTGCAAATATTTTTGAAATTCAACTGGCATTAAATTTGTTCAATGGCCAAGCATTAAGCATTGGATTCAATACTGGAGTTCTTTCATCTCTTAATCATTGTAATTGTCTTTTGACTTACCTGTTTGAGTTGTGTCATGGCAAGAGTAAATAACTGGATAAACTGTTCATCATATTGCGATACTTGTACAGCAGCTGTGAAAGAAGAATCTTCTATTTTCATATTGCCATGCGATGAAAAAAATAACTAATCAATATCTAACATACACAAAACCAAAAAATGAAAAAGAAAAAAAAAACACAAAAATTGATAACTTCAACTCCAATTGATACTATAGTTTCCCACAATGTAGTATCAAATGTGAGTCTATTTTATGAGCATTTACATCATAAAAATCACTATGCTTTAAAAAAAAAATTCAAAAGACAAAAAATCATTCAAATGTTGTTAGTTTTGGATGGACAAACATCCTGTTAAAGCAACAAGTATTCTTCAGGCTCAGTTATTTTATTTCCTTTTTACAACTTTATAATATACATCTAGAGATCAACAATAAGGGACAAAAAAAAAACACCTTCAAACTTACCTATTTCTGTGAGACATTTTAAAGTTACATTTCTAAACATTGGCACAGACAAGAACTGAAATAAAAAGTATAATAATAATGTGTCATAATGTGTAATTGTCACATCTACTTCAAAGAAACTGTATTTCCAGTGATAAAATTCAAAGAAAATTGTACTTAATTTTCTTAATAAAAGGTTATACAAACAACATAAAAGAGATACTAGAAACTACAGGATAGTATCCTCACTTCAGATTTCAAAGAACAGAAGTCATGTGACTGTGTTGTGGGTACACACCAAAGTAAGTGCATTAATATTTACAGACATTAAAAGGGCCAACCAGCATTAGTTTTACTGATTAATTCAATTGTTTTCCTTGCACTCTTTTTCTTATTGAATGTTTGTGTTTGACACTGACACAAAAAACTTGTCTTCCTTCTTCTGAGATAAGTAGGAAAGAAACAAACAAATTTGTCTGATTTGCACTTTGAAATAGACATCTGCACAGAAATGTTTCAAATACATTCAAATGTAAACTAAGATATTTTGATGATTTTAAAAACACCAAAGAATCAATATAATCATAACATAATACAACAGAGACACAACTACTAACAATTTTAAACAAATCTGTCTTAGTTGACTTCCTGGTTTAAAGAAAAAGTCCATGTTCTTGTAAGAAATCACATCCCTAAACCAGAAAATTAATTTGGAAAACAATGAAGAACACAACTCTTCAAGATAAGAAGCTATTCTGTCATGTATTGCTCTCCTTCGCAAGTAAAGTGATTTTGTTGAGTAAAAGTTTTCACTTCTGAGAGGGCAAACCAATATGTCTCCCTGCTTAATAATATGTGGGTGAGAAATAACAAGTAGCTAGTCATATTTTGAATGCTTACCTTATAAATTAGAGTTGTTATCAATTTTGTTTCAAAAATATAACCTAAGGGAATCCAATTAAGAAATCTTAGTAATGTTTCTAATGTTGATCCTACTAATGGAGCATTCTGGGAATTTTCCTACAAATTAAAATGACACAAGTTACAACTTTGAACAAGTTTTATGTACATCAAAACATTTACAACTGACAAAGACTAAATCGCTTTGCCAAACATTCGGGACAAGCATATTTTGTTTGAAAGAATGATTTTTTATTGAAATCACATGCAATCAGACATTGTACAATACAAATATTGTGTTCAAATACAATTAAGGCATATTCATATACTACAAAAATGTATACAAATATTGTCTCTAAATATGCTCTTTCTGGTATGAGACAACAGTTATCTTCAATTGTTCTGAATATGAATGAAATATTTGGCACTGGACATTAAACAACCATCAAACTATCAATTAATCATTTGAAATCTATGATTTCACTTTGGGATCATCCAAACAAAGTTAACTATCAATAAGAAAAACTTAAGACAAGCCTAATTTCTAAAAGACTAAATATTTGAACTTTAAGAAACAAATCGGATGAGGGCTGAATCAATGTAACACACATTGTATCCAGGGAAGGCACTTTAAAAAAGGGTGTCCACTAATGACAGTAATTCCATCATTTTTTCTAAAATTGTCGTTCAGAAAAGTAGAAGAAAGCACTAACCCATGAGTGTTTCTGATTGCCTTTCCTGTTGATCATATATGTGAGAATGTTAAATCAATTATTCAAACATTGTTGGATTACATAAACCTATCTATACCCGCTATGCAACTGCTTATCCTCATGTTGCTGAAGATTCAACAAATAAACAACTTTATGACTATGAAAATGTATTGCTTATTAGTGGAATTGTTATGTGTAAAGGGAGAATTTACTTATTTGGTACTCACTGAAGAGTGAAGGTCTACTTACCATAACAAACTGACACAGCTGAAAAACTGATGAAAATTCACTGCACATACTGTCTTTTAAATGTTTTGCCTTAGCTTGTGTCATCTGACCACTACTGAAGTCAAATACTTCTTCACTGGAAATAAAACACAGCATTGTTATTTTAACAATCTAGCTAAAGATATTTTATATCCAAATTCAACCATAAACTTTTCCCCAAGTGTGATAAATACACCAAACTTTAATACCATCAAACAAAATTTAACATGGATCCTTCTGATGTAAAGTTGTGTGTAAGATTCTTTGTGACTTTTAAAGTTTTATGTCATTCAAAGAAATATTGAATTAATTATCAAAACTTTAACCTGAAATGGGAAGGATGAATCAAGTACAGAAACAAAAACATAATGCTCCCTACTATTGTAGGCGGGGTTTTATTAATTATTACAAGAAGTTAAAATACTTACCTTAACAATTTCATGATAGTAAGATTATTCTGACAAAGTGATTCATTCGTTTTACTAGCACCAACAATATCACTGATAAAAGAAGGCCAATTTCTTGGCCACTCATATTTTAATATCTGCAAAAGAAAAACATTTATTAGCGGTATTATATAGATAAAGTTTAAAAATAAAGAGCTATGCTTTAAAAAAAAAACACAACTGAAGCATTCAAAAGGGAGTATGGATTAAGTACTGTGCTAAGACAATGTAAAGTGTCTGGCATACAGGTATCTTTGTTACAACTCCCAAATTACTAAGAGCAAATCTGCTGAAATTCCCGACAGCATTTTTTTTCTTAAGAATTCAAAAACAATTGTTGTCTATAATTTTTAGCTACCTTTAAAAGTTTTCCTTAAAAGTCAAGAATCATTGTAGAAAAATTCCAGATTGATAGGTCAAATAGAATATAATTGCAATTTTTCTAAAGATTATTAGATTAAAATTTTAATTTAACAATTGTTGTTTTATCTAATTGACATGACCTAATATTTTTTTTAATAATTAGTCCTTATTTTCAATTATTATAAAGCTTAATTCAGTTTTAATTTGACATAATTCATAAAATAAAAGTACAATCACTGATGTCTGCATATTCATAATAAATGTAGTTCTCTCTGGTAAGTAGCCAATATTTTTGTGGTGTTACAATAGTAAATATTGATGATGTTACACAACATTGTACATTTGGTCGCTAGAAATTCTATCATTTGACATATATTAGGATGCCTTTAATATAATATTCTAACTTTTCCATGTTTTATTTTTACTTAAAATTTTTGTTCTTTTGGAAAATTATGGGTACAAATCTAAGACAAAGTTTCCTAACTGGAATTGGCAAACAGTGATTCATATATACCCCCGAATTATATCAGTTTATAAATATTTAAAATGTGTAATTGGACAATTAATACTTACTTGGACAAGAATCATATTAAGTTTGCCTAAGTAAACCTTTTCCTTCTCTAGTGAGGCACTATCTGATGATGTTTTTATGATGAGACCAACAATATATTTCTTTATTCCTACAAAATACAACATTTTCAAATTTCATTTAACACCAAATGTTTTCCTGACATGGTGAGGCCAAAAAATAATAATGTGTGCATTTACCAACACCTGCTGAAAAAAATAAGGTCATTAGGTCAGCAAAACTTTTTTTCTTTTGTTTATCAGGTCAGCAAACCAGAAATAGCCTTATCAGGTTCCAAATCCAGTATTGCATTTAACTATATATCTATTTAGCAGTCATTTTTTGAAGTTGTATTTGTCAGTCAGATATGTTTTACTCCGTTTTACATCACTGTCAAGAACATTAATTGGTAAATATAATGTGCCTAATTTCATAGAAAATAAGTTGGGGTCGGTGGGCAACTTAAGTATATGTACTTCCAAGTACTGCATCTGTTTTTGAAATTTCTTATACAAGTTTTAATTTAATATACAACTGTTTTATTGCTGTGATCTTATTTGTTACAACAAAGTTCAATTCGAGTTTAAAAGAAATTTCTTGCTTCTATACAATAAGTGTAAACCGAATGAATAAATGATGTGAACTTGTCAAATATGAATCCATAATAATTAATTCTTTATTTAAAGAGGGTAACACAGTTAGTTACAACAAACTAATCTTCCAGAGGCCCTCATACAAATTGCAATACAATCAAAAACAGGTATTTACACATAGTTAATTTACAATCATATAGTTCGATGTATCATTATAAACATGATAAAAGATATAACTGTTGAGGTACATGTAGTAAAAAATTTATAAAAAAATATAAGATACAAATCAAAATAATATATTGTAGAAAACAGAAACTTTTTAAGACTGTGTCAAGTACTTCTTTAAAAGTAAAAGTGTTTTGGGCTTTGCACATTTTGTGTGGTAGTCCATTCCATAGAACTGATCCAGAATAAAAAAAGATTTCTTAAACAGTTCAGTTTTTGGCTTAGAAAATATCTGATTACCTTTAGTAAGGAGGATTATTAGTTTCAACTTTTGAACTAGGTACATTGGTGCATTCCTTTTACAAATATACAATTTAACACTTCTTTCCAAACTTAATATAACTTATATAATTACTCTTTTCAAAAAACGCAGTCTTATACATTAGGCTTTGTGTACATATGGGTTATACTTACTTTTCATTCAGTCAAAAAAATTTTCAATGGAGTAAAAATATTTCACTGCAGAAAAAAACCTGTTACAACTCTATACACTACATCTTATTTTATATACACAATATGCATCTACAGAGTATTTATCGTTTTTTTTTTTAATAAATAAAACCATAAATCAGTTAACTAGCACTTTATCAATATACCTTCACACTGGGCTCTGGGAAGAACCTTCCATCGTGTTTTAATAACATTCTCTAAGATTTGTAGTGCGTAATATTTAGTCTGTTGATTACTAGAATATTCTAAAATTGTATCCACTCTGGTCCATGCATCAGGGTGTTCTTTTAATGCTGTCAAAACTTGTTGAGCCATTTTTTGCTAAAAAGACAGTTTAAAAATAGATATAGGTATCTAAAATGGCCATACCTAAAACATACAACTAAAAAGTGTGGCAAATCATAGAATTATTTGACAGAGAGCTATAATAGTCAACAAATATTTTTGGTTTATGAATTTCATAACCTTCGAAGTTGTACTTTTTCATTTAGATCTAATAGTCTTTTTTAAAATACAAGAATGGAGATTACCATTAACATATTTATCTGATTAGCTGTTGTGCATTTGATGACAAATGAACTAAGAGAAATAAAAATAACTTTATACCTGAGTGCCATTGCCAGTGTACATTAAGGAAACCACATTGTCCAGGAGGTTGATATCCAGCTTCTGGCTAAAGTCCAGAAGCTTGGACACCTCATCGGATAAATTAGCCGAGTTCATAACTATGGGCGGCATTCACAATTTTTTTTTCTTGACCTAAAATAAAAGTAGTAATATAATTATTATATGAAAACGTTCACCTTATTTTATGTCTTAGTATCAAGAGTCAACTGACTATTTCTGTAAAATTGATTTATTTGTAGATCTTGTCAAGATGATCACTTTCGCTTTTTTAAAGTTTCTCTTTTATCATTTTAGTTTTCAAGATATTAGGCACAAAATGAAGAAAAAAAATCTAAATAAACAATAAAGGGCAATAATCCTAAACACATGCTTAATGGAGCTGTCTGATAGTTTTGATCTAAATAAATGGCACAAAAATCTGATTATTTTGAACATTTCTGCCCCAGTAAGATTTTCTCAATCTATAAGAGTTTACAACTATCCCAGGTTAAGGGAGGGTTGAGCGCTTGCAAACATAATTCTATGTTTGCCTGTCCCCAAGTCAAGAGCCTGGAGTACAGTGGTTGTGTTTGGTGCATGACGGTCATATTTTTTTATGTAAATTGTTTTGTTCTAAATTTGATTTCTCTTTTGAATTCTTTCATGTTTTTCATGTCCAGGCCTTTTATAACTGACTATACGGCATGGGTTTTCTCATTGTTGAAGGCTTTATGGGGGCCTATAATTGCTTACTACCACTTCATTTTAACTCTGGTGGATAGTTGTCTCATTGGCAATCATTACACATCTCCTCATTTTTACATACAAGACAATACTTGCAATTTACCCCTATGTACTATTTTTAGCCTTCCTAGCCATATTGGTTGGCATACTGGATTACCGGACACATTTTTTAAACCAGATACCCCTAGGATGATTGTGGCCAAGTGTGCTAAAAAGGAATCCAAAATCAAAATAAGCTTTAAATTTTCTGAAATGTAACGCATTTAAAATGAAGTTATCTAGTTCATCTCTTGCCTTAACACTTTTCCAAGTGCATGGGTTACTCTGAATTCAAAGTGTAAACACCGATTTCAGACGATATGAATTTGTTTTTCCAGTAAAATGTAAGGAGATGTGGTATAATTGCCAATGAGATAACTATCCATCAGAGACCAAAATGACTTAGATGTTAGCAACTATATGTACAGCCTTCAACAAATAGCATAACCCATACCACTTGCAAGCTATAAAAGGCCAAGATATGGAAAAATGCAAACAATTTAGCTGAGAAAAACCAACAGCCTAATTTATGTAGTACAAAACAACATACAAAAAACAAATATATAGCAACAAACAACAATCACTGAATTACAGGTTTCAAACTTTGGAGATGCCCAACCCACTTACTTGGGACAGTGTCAGTGGTGAAAAAGCACTACATACAAATAAACTCAATAAAACTGTTGAAAATGAATTGACTCATCAGATTATACAAAGCAAAATAACAACTAACAAAAACAAAGTACTGATCCGAGAGTACTTACTGTTACTAAAAGCTAGTTCAATGCTCATTACAACTTATAATAAAATCATGTATCCAAGATAAAATATCAATCAGTGCACATCCAATAGATTTGTTAGCAGGGTTTCAGCTGGTGTTCTCCTTTACACATTTGGTGAAAAAATAAAATTGTGACATAAAAAAAATATTGGCTAAACTTTTTAGTGAAAAAATAATAACAGTGAGTCCTTCATCTTCCACTTTCATTTCACAGGCTTCTCTGACTTTTTCGTTATCAGTCAACACTCAGCTTTTTAATCTTGAACTTTTCACATGTTTTGATATTGACAGAAAATCAATTATCAGTAAATTGCAAATAAGGTACAAGTATTTGATAGCTATTGATAATAAACTAATCAATAAAAGGTGTTAATTGCAGTCTGTGCCAAACGCCTTCGGTCCTGATCGATGAAATAGATGCAGGACCGCCAAATGGTACGTTAATTCCGGTCCGTATGTCCAGTGTTTTTACCGTCTCGGTTCTGTGACTTATTATTGTATTTTGATATGCGTGAGCACAGATTGATAGAAATGAAAACTTCCAGGTACAATGTTTACTCTGAAGTATGTTCAAGGGGCTTTCCTGGGCAAATGTATCTCAAAATTTGAGAATCCAAAACAATTTCGTCACAGGCTGCTCTAATTTTAAAATGTTCCTGTCTGAGTCATAAAATAAACTCTAATAAAAGACTAATATATATATATACATGTATAACAATTATTTTTATTTAATAAAATTTATCAACTGCTTACCTGAAATGTAATTTTTACCATAAATATCATCATAAAACAACACAGTACATTTAATAACATAAACAACACAATAAGCAGGCTTAAATTAAAATATTGTTTGTTTGCAGTTTACCGACTGACCCTTGAAAATCCTTCTATTGACGAGATCTGGAAATTCAGGTCCTTTCCGGAATTGATTTAAGTCTAGGTCGTTTACACGTTTTAAGTTAGTTTTTTCTTGCCTTCCCGTCAAGCGTTCATGTGACCGTTTAATGATAAAGCACATGGAAATTGTTTACAGGTATCCATGAAGTTATGGAGGAGTACTTTATGCTGTCGACTTCTGTCAATTTTAAGACAAATAACAAACAAAAAAGTTTAATAGTAAACTGTTTATACAGATTCAGGAACATGGAATGATGTCTTTGATGATATCATTGAAGAAGATGCAGTGGATATTCACAACCGACACGATAACTCATCTTTGTCAACTTTCTGTCTCAAACAAATCGGATACAGAATCTTTCGAGCCTGACTTTATGGAACCAATTTCAGTGGTTAAACAATTCGACAGCAGTTTGAAGTATGTCATATTTTCTATAAATTGTTGTGAAGAAGACAAATATGAAACCACTCCTCCATGAAATACAGAAAGATGTAGAGAAAATGAATGATTAGCTTGAAAAATAAATATACTATCTCTATATTAAATCTATCTTCGATTGCAATGAGTATGCTCCTTTAGGATAAGGGGGGATGCCCCACTCATTAATTACAACTATTCTCTTTCTTACAATATTAAATATACCCAAACTTTGTGGCCTGTCACTGTGTGAATTGAATTAAAGCATGTTCTTTAATAGGAGCTACGTGCCAATTTTTTTTCTGCAGTCAAAACATTTCAGTACAGACCATTTACTTTAATGGGGTGCTATGGATTTCACCCCAAACTAGTAAGTTTTCTTTGGTTTTCATTTAGGCCTGGCATCAACATATCTTTCAAAATATAATCTTATTGCATATAATTAAATATTGTTAGAAATGTGAAAACAGTCTTTTTGAAGTTGCTCTTTTTTTCAATAGAGGAAGATTCAATGGCTGACATTTTTTTTTATTAAAAATACACTCTTTAATACATTGTCTTTTGAACATGATAAATCTTTAATATCTACATTTTTCTGATGAAAATACTCTACTCATGAAAACATTCTAGTCAAGAAGCATATACTGTACTGAGGGCCTCAGGGAAGATTAGTTTATTGTAACTAACTGAGTTTACCCTCTTTAAATAAAGAATTTATTATTATTATTATTATTATATATGTCCGTGAATATATTTCTTTAAAACAGTTCTAGTCATTCCTTGTTTATAAGTGTTTCAGTATTTAATAATACCATATTTTATGTCATAAATTGAATTAAAGTTTCAGTTTTAGTTAAAAAGTTTTTTTTTATCTGACAATGCCTGTTCATTTCATGTTGGTTTTCAGTGTTGTTTTAAAATAGGTTTTTTTTTCTTAACAAGAAACTTGGTTTGTGTAGCTGCTTGTTTAAACTTTTTGGCTGATAAAATAAAATATTTTTCCTACCTACCCACCCTTCAGTCTGAAGGTACAGTCGGGAAAATGCAAACAAACATATTTTTAAGGTTGGCCTTAATTGATTTTTTTTCTGACAGACAAAACCTACAACACTGTCTGACCAAATGTCAGACAGAAACCAAGAGTTTGGCAATGACTGTAATTGTATGGGGTTAATAAAACTAGAGGCTCTAAAGAGCATGTGTCGCTCCCCTAGGTCTATGTGCATCTTTAACCATGGAGAGACTCCAACATTGTGGACAAGAATAGAATTTCTGACAGAAATCTCTTTACAATATAGGGCATTAAAACTGGTACATTTAAATGTGTTGTTTTCTTCTTAGCTGATCCTCATGATTATCATTTCAGTTTTAACAAACTACAAAAGAAAACAGTTCCTCCATTAATTGTGGAGCACTATCCATAGGGTATATTGTTATGGGTTAATCATTGATGTGGCAATATTCTATTTTCTTATCTTAGCTGTCAGGACACCTTTTTCTAGTTTATACAATTTTTGATACAATTTATTATATATGTCTCTGCTGAATACAAGTGTAAACTATTTTTAATGATAGCATGGAAGGGGCAGTCAGCACGTTTTACTGTAAAATAAAGGTTAGAAAATCGATCTATATTATGAGAAAGATATCTTTTCTTTTCCCAATAATCATTCAAATTCATTTAATCAGTTGTCATCCAGATTTTTTTTAAAAGTCACCTTGTTTCTGTACTTTTCTACCCGATGGGTAATGTCCCATTGTTAACGTTTTGCCATGACATACTAAAATAAGCGAACAACTCATAGTCCGGTTAAATAAAGGACTTGCTGATTGGTCAATTAGGTATCGTCTAACGAACAATTCTTGGAATGACAACAACTGGTAACTTCTAATGTTGCATTACTCTATTGGAGAGACTGACAGCGATCCTGTTCGCACATATACGAATACACAGCAGGGATTTTTATTTTAAAACATGACAAGGTTAAAAATAGAACTATTGTCAACATATATATCGATCTCTCTGAAATTTTTTTTTGTGATTTTCAACAGTATACTTTAGGGCAAAGTAGCCGTCTGATTTCCGTGCTATAGATAGAGAAAACTGCCTGCTACCAGCTTCTATTGAAAGCCTGGTATACAGTCTATTTAAGTTTTTCAGATATTATGCAAAAAAGTCAAAAAATCATCATTACAATTTACAGGTCAATAACTCCAATAAGAAGTCTTCTGGTGATTATGACCATTTGACTAATTTGTAGATCTTGTATTGCTGATCATTTTTGCTGTTTAAGGTTTCTCTCTATTATAATTTTCAAGATAATAGGCAAACATTTAACATGTTACTTGTGTTATCTGCCAAAATATAAGTAAAATCCCTACCTACCTACCCTACCCGACATGGTTGGGCAACATCAAACAAAGAATTTACTATGGGTGGCCACATAGACCTTATAGTGTTAAATAAATAACATTTAAGAAAAACTTTATTTAAGGATCAATAAGTTTACATGGATTATATTTACAGTAAATTTGTGGGCTCTAAAGACAACATCACCATCAAAATTTGGATGTGATATATATATTTCTTCTCAAAGACTAAGAATTGAACAAGGTTGCTATCAGGGTACTCTCAGACAAGACAGAATATGTCTCAGGTGCACCTCAAATGAAGTTGATGATGAAAATTTTTTTTTATTTTCGTGTACATCATCTCAAGATAAGAGAAATTGTTTAAATTCCACTATTAACTCACTATGCCCAAACTTTATGCATTTGATTCCTAGCCAAAAACTGATATGGCTTTTTAATGTAGAGAATCTTGATATCTGTCTGTGAGTTAGTTGATGAAGACAAAATATAACTTGAAAGATAAATATTTAAATCAGGCTTTCTGCACTAGGTACGAGGTTGGCATGGTGGGGTACAGGAAACATGGTATAAGTTCTATTACCTTTCTGTTTGTGATATTTTTTTATTAAACTGGTAATATTTTATCTTTTTGTAATATGTGCACTTTGGCATATCAATTAGCATTGTCCCTTGATGCCTCTTGCAGTTGTGTCACTTTAAATAGTACTGACTCCTCTGCACCAGGCACGAGGATGACATACCAGTTATGTGCAACTTCTTACAATATCTTACCATATCATTAATCATGTTAATGTCCCGATACACATTTTAATATGCACCCACCATGCCATATAGCACGTCCCTTGGTGCCTCCTGCAGTTAAGCTAGATATATTTAGCCTACTCACAGAATTGTTTTTTGTTACTT